AAAATCTAACAACCCCTTCCTGTCGGGTGGGGAACAAACAAACAAACAAACAAACAAACAAACAAACAAACAAACAAACAAACAAACAAACACACAAACCCACACACACACACACCAACACACACACACAACACACACAACACACACACACACCAGCACGCACATGCCGAAAACACGAACTTACTGCTTGGCTTTGCAAGTCCAGCTGAAACAAGTGCTTCAGACACAGTGTCCGAGCCGTATTTGCCGCTTTTCTGCAAGGATATCGAGAAATGCAGGGCCCGTAAGCAGGAACACGCTTAGCCGTTCTCAGATCGCAAACAATTTTCTTCGCAGCGCAGTACATGCGCAGCTAATGCAGCGCTGTCTTTGTATTGGTCCTGAATAGTCCGAGTCTAGGAAGAAAACAAACACAACACATGTGGGAGTGTGTCAAAGGGAGACCTCAAAAACTGTCTTCCTCAAGACCAACCCTAAAGAGGAAACCCAGCAAACAACATCAACTCTGGTCATTCCCCAGGATGGCATCAGCTCCCTAGCACCCTACCAGCGAACGTATTCCTTGAGGCTGCTTGCTACCCCCTGACATGTCAATCCGAGATGGCAAAAGCAACCAACATCAAGCTTGCATGTGGCAACATGATAGGATGCAAACAGAGCTCATCCTGTTGAAAAACCATTTGAGCTCAACAATTTGCTTCCAAAAGGCAAAGGAGCTAAGGTAACACCAAAGACCATGTGCCATGGCCCTTCAAATTGGCTGTCATTGAGATGCGAACGATGATGCCCTTGACCGCCTGCGCACGGAAGGAGCGAACATGTTGGCACCGGCGCTTGGGGGATCATGAAACGTGCGCACTGGAAGCGCTTAAACAAGTAGAATAGGGTGTGGGGGGCTTCAAAATCAAACTAACTCATGACCGTAGGACATGACATGAGTAATTACTTGGCCCTGATGTTAGCCGCTGTCAGCCTGTTCAGCGGTGTGTGGCTTCTCGCACGTTTGCTGTGTCAACGCAGGCCCACATAGGCCCCCTGACCAAAAGAGTGAGGGCTTGAGGCTAGCGAGGTGTCCAAAAGAAATCGAGTGCCAATCTTAACAAGGGTGAGCTCAACTAGGAAACGGCTGGTGGTAGTGCTAACAAGTCCGAATGGAGGGGTTCCCGGTTCCACCATTTAGAGACATACCCACATGAGTTTGAGATGTGCCGGTTGAACCATAGCGGCTGCATATGTCAGCAATCGCGCAATGAGGCTGCATGCTTCGCCCAGCTTGCCAATCAGAGCTGACCATTCAGAGCAGGTGCTCAGCATTTGAGTTTTTCTCAAAACAGGGGAGCCAAACAAATGGTTAGCTTCCCTTTGGATTCCCTTTTGGTTCCACCACAAAGAGGTTGCCCTGAAAGACACATTGAATGGGAACGCTATGGCCAGTAGATGTTGACAAAACAGCCACGGGAAGCCATTCAAAGCCCAATTCCTACCCACCCGGCGTAGCCTATTGCCAAATTGCCAATGCTGGGCGTTGCAGTTGATGTTGTCTGCAGATTGGCGGAGTTCCCATGAAACAAACCTCAACTGCGACTGTCGAGAACCACATCGAGCCTGCACCCGAATCGTATCGAACCCTTTGGGGGTGAAATCGGACCGCGTTGAAGCGAACAAGTTTCCAGGAAAACCCGTGTCGCGTCGGACAATCGCACAGCACTTGCTGGCGAATTGCCATGCGACGAAACACTTCCTCTACTATGGCCATGGGCCTGTCACACTGTGGGGAACCTCTTGGATGGCTCGCAAGGAGAACGAACGGAAACAAAACACCTGAGGGTGGCTCAAGCCAAGATTGGTCCTAGCCGGTGGGAATGCCACGTGTCATGAGAACAAACTTACTTGATCTTTCAATTCAAATGGATACCCTGTCCACTAGCATGGAACTCGTCACAGGGTCCATTTGAAAGGAAAACGGTCTTTCAGGACCCCACTGTCAACCTCCATCTTAGTCTAGGTCCTCCAGTAGAGAGGTTAGAATAAGGGTACCCTTTTTTCGGTAGTCTATTTTAGTACGGGAACCCTCTCCCCAAAAAAGTTACGGTAAAAGGGCACCTAGCTGGGGGACCTAGCAGAGGACACCAGGGCCTGCAAGTGAAAGGATGGAATTTGAGGGTATGGGGCTGGCCTTCTGCAGCTGCTTGAGGGTACTCGTCATCTGCGCCAGCAGGCGGTTGAACCGGGTCATCTCCTGACGGAAAGGCTTGCCATGGCGTAGGCCTCGAACATCTAGCAATATGCATACATGCAGGCATATGGCCATGGGTCAAAATCCCGTACCCCCAGTGAACATCCCAATCCCCACTAAAATAGGTTCTAAAATGGGTGGCGCACCTACCCCAAAATGGTACCATTGGTTTGGACCCACAGCCATATGTATTTATACCTAGATATACACATATTCGTGGCATCGATTACGTACAGGCGTCAAATAACATCATCCTACCTTTCAGCTGCTGTTTCCAGAATTGTAATTCATTCATTCGAGGTTGCAATGGTTCAATACTCAGTGATCAGGCAAGTGCAGGCGTGAATTCTTGCAACATCTTGGATTTCTGGAGCCACGTGGGTGCGCCTTTCTTTCTGAGAACCCCCTCTTGCTTGACTTTAAAAGAAAAATGCTTGAGGTACACATGGAAAACAGACATAGAGGCAGCTTGACACTGTTCAGGGTCAGGTTGTCTGCTTCACCCAAGCCCACTTTGGTGTCCTCTCGGAACTGAAGTGTTGCACTGTTGAATGAGTCAGAACCTGTCCATTTCTTAAGGCAGTGGTTCAAACCCTATGCTCTGCACTGAGTCAGCGCGGCACTCCTGCGAGAGGCAAGTGCCCAACGAGGTCATCAGGCCAGTCTCCTGGCAAGACAGCTGGCTCCCCAGAGGCTGAGGGGCGTTGAGCTTAGCTTTTTACTTTTGGTAGCCACCAAAAAACGAAGACGACACATGGATGTTTCTCAAAGCAATGGTCCCTTGAAACGGTCGGTTTCCTATTGATATCCCTTTACCTACCGACCAAGAGGTCTAGCATTTGAAAAACCCCCCCAATGTAGCAACACTTGCTCGAGTTTGGTTTTAAATACGAGTCCGAGCAGTCCGGCCGTGGTCATGGTGGGTCAAAACTTGGGAGAAGAGTTCAAAAATCAGCCCATGGCCGCTTGGTCGATGGGAGTTGATTTTAAGGTCCCCTTGCTATAGTCTTCACCCATGAAGGTCCTCAAGAGGGTTTGTTGGTGAGAATTGAAATTCGCACAGCGGCTGGTCAAAGCTTGGCTGTGCAGAGCTTGGCCGTGCAGAGCCGGGCAATGCTGAGCTGCTTACCTTGTCAACAAGCCAAACATGGCACTCTCATCGACGTATGTCGATCCTTTCAGGGGCCGCCCTAGCCTCGCCTCGCTCATGGCAAAGCTCTCGGCATGAGCGTTCTCTGCGGAAAGCTTCTCGGGCAAGCGACCCCTGGGCAACAGCATGCAGCGTCGGTTGAACATGGGTTCGTTGTTTCATGTTGTCATTTTGTTTCGGGCACGCCTTTTAAAGGTTGGCTAAAGGGGAACCAAGGGAAATCGTTCATTTTTGGGGTGCCCCTGTTTTCACACATACTCAAAAGGTTTTCCAGTCAAGCATGGTTGAATTCAACCCAGCAAACATGCCCCCCCCATAACTCTATGCAAATCCCCAGGGAAACATGTCAAGGGAGTGAATTCAGCACTGCCCAATGTAAGTCATGAACCCCAAATTGGTCCGATTTGAGTCTCTGGAAGGCAAGTGTTGCAAAGGCTCCTTGCTGAAGAACGACCGTGAGAAACCAGGCATGACATGGCACGCAATTTGCACGTGTAAGCAACCTATTGTATGTAGGCTTTAATTTTTACAGCCCCAATAGAGCCAGGTAGAACCCCCCGCTGAAATTTGCCAATCAGGGCTTTGGGCTTGCCTCATGCTGGCTCTAACTTTTCTGCAAAGGGGGTCTGGTGGGTTTGAAAGGCGGCCAAAACGAACAGGACGCTGGTCGAGTTTACTTTCGTATTTTCAAGTGGGAAGGGAAACAAGCTTGTTGTAGCCAAATATGCCTCATGACAGGAACGAGTAAAGCAAAGCGGCCCCACACACTACAGGCTTCTAGGAGGGTAAAGGCGGGGGTTTCTGTGGGATTTGTTGATTACAACAAAACAGGGGATTTCTTTGGGTAGAGACGGGGGGATTTTTGAGACAGCCCGCCACAGCAAGTCCGGGCACCCGGCACCCGGGAGTTTCTCTTCCATGCCTCCATTTCTAAGATCCCAGAAATCAAATTTTAATGGAGGTGAGGGAAGCAGATAAAAAGAGATCCACCCAACCGTTTCTTGCTCTAGCAAAATAGCAATTGGACAATTTTGCTTTAAGAAAGGGAGATGAATGATAGAGGAAGCCAAGGGCAGATAATTAAAAGGCTTTCCTATTCATCTCTTCTCTCTTCTCTCTTCTCTCCTCAACCACAGATATAACGGTGAAGGCTAGAGAAGAGAGGAATTCCGTCCCTTCGGTGCTGGAAGCTCACCTATGGGCTTTTTAGAAGGCTGATATTTAAGCATCCAAAACTCACTTCCTGAGTGAATTGGCCAAAAAAGTCGGAATGTTCCATATACCACTTCAACGGTCTTCGCAAGAAATATCAAGTTCAGGAAATCAGGGAGTGAGACTTAGGGGAATTCACAGGCAAGCCTTACACATACAAACCCGTGTTTCGTTTGGTAAGGGTGGCTTCATAGAGAGAGACAGTCGTGGATCTCTAGGAGGGGGCTATGGTATCCCTGGATAAGCCCAAGCCAAAACTTTAAGAAGCCTCATGAAGGCGCCAAATTTTAGGCAGTTACGCCCCTCCGCGGTCCCCCCCCCCCTGGTCCATGAGACAAAGAGAGCGACGCTCCCATGGGCTGCCCCCTCTGGGCTGCCGGGCTCTTGTTCCGCCGACAGCTCCAGCACCACCTCCTCCGAGCTCTTGCCGCCAGTGCCGCCCGCCTCGGTGAAAGCCGAATCCATGCGACGCATGGATTCATATGTACATGCATGTGCAGTACGGCTTGTTGTAAATGCATATTAGATATGATATTCGCAAACAACACGATCAATATGTGAATGCGTGAATATGCTATACATATACCAGTATACACTATATATATATACATATATGTACATATGTGTGTATATATATATATATGTGTGTATATATATATGTATACATACGTATGCACGGTTCAGCCTCCCAAACCCCACACCCGCTCCGTACAATGTCAGTTTAGGTTTAGTTTAGGGTTGCAGGGTTGATCCTGGGTCGCCCAGCAACCGTTTGAGGGCCGGTGTAGCGTTCACGTAGATTGGCTGCAGGGTTCACAAAGAGTCGAACTGGATATGTCCGCCGTCCATAATTTGGGGCACTCTTTGGTGGAGTGCTGAGGGTCAAAGGGGTGGGGATTGGTGCGGGCATGTGCGGGCGGATACCATCAACGTTTGCTCACGTTGTGTACATATTATATATGTATAGATATAGGTCGCATGGATTGCATAGTACACCTCATACATGCACATGTGCATAAAAGAAACACCATGATACGCTGAATTGGGCAAACCGGTACAATCAGGCGCCAACAGTCTCACACCAAGCAAAGGAATTCCTCGCACGTGTCTTCCTACCGAGCTTCTGTGCGCATTTTACAACATCGGATTGTTGGAGCACGGCACAAACAGCAAAATGCTCTGTTCATGTTTATTTTGAACAGGAGCAGTCTCTGGCTCAAAGTGTTCTTCTCAAAATGGAATTCTCCCTTTGCCAAGAGAACCAATGGATAACACATTCATAACAAGTGAGTTCCAGAATACCTTGGCAAACACAAAAGCATGAACAGGATACTGGGACATCTACACTTTCATTGCTGGACAGAAGCGACCACTTGATAGCCATGACATACATGGCACAGTACCCCACAAAACATTCTGCCCACATGTGTTCCAGTGCGGCATTGCGTACATGATGATGGCGCATGTATCATGGACCTGAAATCCAAAGCGGAAAAACCTACATGTGTGACAATGTTGTGTCAGCCTGCATTGTCTTCTCCCTGATGAATCACCTAACCCCCAGCTCAACTTGCCGCACAATGAAGCTCCAGCTGCTCCATGATCAGTGAGGACAAAATAACTCCTCTTGCGTTCATTTAGTGTGCAACCAACTGGTTGCACGTGAAAACCACAAACACGCGTGCCCCCAAAGATGGATCCTTTGCCAAAACAGCCCGGCACGCCTCGCGGGGCTGAATTGAGAGGACGGTGTTCAGCACCTTCTCTGACTCCTGACCTCCGAGCTCACAGCACAGTGGTTAAAGCTTTGCACCCCATAGATTTTTAGCTAAGGGGGCCTCGACTATGGACCAAAATGGGAACCCATTTTGGACAGGTCGGGTTTGGGGTAAGCAATTGGGAACCCTTTGCGTGGACATGTTTTATGTGAAATTGATGTCCACCAACAACTTCTGAGGGTCAACCCTGCTGAATTTCACAGCCAAACTCACATCCTATTGATGCATGGCCAACCATCTCATGAAGCTGCTGGTCCAAGTCCTAATGGAATGTTTATGCGCCACGGTCAAAATTACTTGTTTCCCCAAGAGAAAAGGACATCTGCGGGTGTCGGTCGGAATTTTGGGTGGGTCCTCCACATACCCAAATGGACCAAAAACGGGGCATGTTGAGACCAAACCTCTTGTGATTTAAAGGCATAGATGACTTTGTGTGAGCAATGTCACCAGATTGCCACATCCGGACCTAGAAGTCGAATCCATCTGAACGCAAGGCAAACATAGTCTTCATCTAGGTGGGCTGTTGCCGGTCAAGGATCCCTCACAACTTTGTGGAGAACATGCACTTTGAATCTGGAAGAATTTCATGCCTAGGTCCGACTCCAAGTTTCCCCTTGAAACATCACCCCTACCAAGGGAAACTCACCAGTGGCCAAAACAAGTGCTGTTCAAAACCACCTTTGAGCAGAAATATGAATGTGGCCCTCGTCAGAATACCCCGTGTTGTGTGGATTCAAAGGAAAACCAAAAGGAGAACCACCCCTATAAAGAGCCCACAAAGCAAAGAACCAAGGCCGCCGCTCATGAAGCTGATGTTTGCATTGTCGTGCATGCCGAAGACCTGCGAGTGGTTTTTGCAAGCCAAAAACAGTTTTGCGAACACCCACAGCTTGAGGCAGCTTTAGGGTGAGATCGGGCCTGACTCAAGCGGACAGGCGCAACAAAAACTGACCTATGAGATCAGCTGGCTAGGCTAATGAACGGTGCTTTGTTGCTCGTTACGGATGCGGGGAAGGCCTTCCAAGCTCCAACGCAAATATTGCAACAAATGCTTGTGCTATGATGGTCTCACTTCCGATCGAGTGGGTTGGCACTAAAAAGTCACCACACCTTGTCTTCGCCATCCAACGGGTCCAAACCCAACAAGTGACTAAAGTCCATGAGCTCAGGGAGTGAGTGGTAAAGCAGAAGAGCTTAGGCGCGTTTTCGCGAGAATAAATTTGGCATGTGGGTTGCCAGAAATCAAGCTTCTGATCTCCCCGATTCCGTGTGGAATGTGAATGCTGCGTGAAAGACTTGAACCATTGTTCAATGGGTTGTATCCTAATTCTGATTCGTAGTCAGCGGGCTTTGAACGGGTGAAGGAAAGGACTCTATCTTCTCCGCTGGTCAAGAAAGTCTTCTCATCCACAATCTCATTTATAGCCGATACTTTGAAAATGTACACTGCAAACCGGTTCACCGCCTCTTGGCATGCACTGGGGGAAGATATCAAGAGATGCATTCTATAGCTCTACAACCCTTGATCCCCTAAAACTGGTCAGAACAAAAAAAAAAAAACTAATAACCAAAAAATGATCCCACAACAGTAGTGAGATGCAGTCTATAGACTCATTTAGATGCTTGTTTCTGAGGTGAGCCGACGAGAATTGATCAGAGCTCAAGGACCTGCCTTTGCCCCAACCCTCAAAATCTGACACACATTCCAGCCGAAACTGCTTCTGTGGGTCATGGTTGTTGTATATACATATACAGAAAAACACTTTTTTGGGGACACCCCAAAATGGTGTCTGATTATAACCACCCCCCAAAAAGTGCCCACAAAGAAAGACGAGCCCATATCAGCCACCAGCATGTTCCAACCGTCTCGAGTCTCTAGACATAGAGACAGGTGCAGACTGGGATCAATGAGCCTTTCGGGTACTCTTGGCTCTCTCGAGGTCAGTCATCCGACGGCTACCACCCACGGCCTCATGGCCTCAAAACATGTGCCGAGGCAGCGTGCAAGAACATCATCCAAGCCAAGCACTAAGTACCATCTACGCGTGAGTTTGATAAATGAACACACCTGAAATCTTGGTTCCCGAAAACCTTCATGGGTGTCGGGAAAAACAAGAGAAATCTCAAACCCTGGAAGTCGCTGAGGTTTGTGGAAAGCACAACTCAAACCCTTCAAGTCGCTTTTGGTGTCTTTGCGTTGCTGTTCTCTGCGACCCGTTACGCTTTGGTTTCTCGTTTCTCGTTTCTCCAACTTCTGTGGGCTCCTTTCCCGCCTCCGGTTGCTCCGAGAGCGGGAAGCTGGCCACCTCGGCAAACACTGGCAGGCTGCGGTGTCAACGGGATGCCGTGTGGAACCTGACTTGGTGTGATAAGTAGGGAATGACCCAGGGTTTTGGCAATGAACCGGAGGATGGTTTATAGGGGGTCATTCCCTCATTCCCTGAGAGCCAGCAAACTTGCGTTTCGGAATCTGTCCTTGTTCCGACTTTTTTCCGTTCAAATGGGCAAATCCTCTGCTGAGCTCCATGGTAAGGTACAAAATGCCATTGACACAGAATTGGGATCTGTGGCGAAATCACGAGTGCATTGACGCTATAGTTCCTAAGAGTCCTCAACAAACATATCCACGCGTCACAATCAAAATGGAACTAAAGAAGTGTACCCAAAATGCGAATCAAGGCCGCCGCACTTATGGTTGGCATTGCCCCCTGCACTTTCCGACTGCATGATTGTGGCTCAACTGAAGTCGCGAGAAAGCCCAACATGGTTTATGCTTGAAGCAGAACATGGAGGAAATCCTAATCACAAGGTCCACAACCAGAATCTGCATGAACTTGTCACCTTCACCAGGAAGCCCTGTCAAGTCAGGTCCTTGTGAGTTTCTTGCCCAGTGTGACGGATCCAGAAGGGAATTCTGCCGGACGACCTCACCGGCAAGCTATTGGGAAAACAAACTAGCGGGGATACAGGGGAATCCACATTTTTGTTTGCTTGCTTGTCTGAAGCTAGAGCCAGCCAAGGGCAAGGCAAACTTCCGCCAGCTCTCGATGTCCGCAGTATCGGAGTTGTCTGGACACCTGGCAAGATGCTGCCAAGTGCTTGCAGCTTCAAATCCAACAGCACTGATGGGGTGGTGCACAACTCGCACTGGGTGGCATGAGCAAACAAACATGTACACTATACTGGTATAGAAGTGGTACATCAGAGATGCAAGATTACTGGCGCTACTCGCAACGAGAGTAGAAACACGTGGTGCAGAGACGATGTGATGTTGAGTGAATGGATGTCCAATATGCAGTGTGGCAATACCGCAGCGTATTGAGCCCTGCATACTGCATATATTCCCAAAGGCCCAAACCCCAAGTCCAACGGCGCTCAATGGGAGCATTGATGAGGGCAGAACCCCTGGTTAACAGGACAGGTGCAGCCGATCTTGAAGGGGACCATTGTGAAAGGGTAACCCCCGATTTGACAGCTTTATTGATCCGGGGTCAACGGCATTGCTCGGTGTCAAATTGTGGGGTTTGCAAATGCGCAGCGGAGATTGTGCCAAGCACCGGTTCAAAGAACAATTCCCACGTGAATGTAGATCTCCCAATCTGCATTGCGATAATCTTGCCCTCCCAAACTCAGCTTCCCTCTAATTGGTGGTTTGGATTGGTGGTTTGGTGGTTAAGGTTTCCCAAACCACCAACTACGCAACTAAGGGTCACCTGAAAACCCAAAGTTCAGAACATGAGAACGCCCGCGACAAACAAAACACGGCCTGTACGTACCGCTCTCCGAAAAGATGTAGTCCTTCTCCAGGATCTTCGGAGTTACGTACCTCTCCAGGATGGACAACAGCAGTCTCCTGGCATTGGTCAGTTTCCATGCCAACGAGGAGACCGATTTACCACAGACCTTGAAGGGCTGCTGCTATTCGACCGAGTCGATCAGGCCGTTTGCTTCCGGAAAGTAAACAGGGTAATCTGTTTCTGGAGTGGTTAGTCAGGACCATGTCTATACCCTTTATATATACAATATGTATATTATGTAGTGGCTCAAAAGAGTGGTTGCATATCGGAGTAGTGCTTCGTCGCATCGCCCAAACTGAAAGACATGTCGAAGCCAGGCGCTCCGAAAGCCACCGGAGCTGTCGTTCCGTGAGGCACCTTTTTTTGGGGGTAGCTTTAATTCACTTGCCCAAAGGACCTGGAAATAAGAGGTTAACCTTTTGGGACCTCAAAGAATAGACCAACAAGAGAACACCAAAAGGTGAAAAGGTCGGCTTTGAACAACTGAAGGGGAAACCAAAGGGACGCCACCCCATTTTTAAAATACACCCAGGTTCTCGGTGCGCGAGTGCTTGTGCCGGGTGGTGTCAAGGTGGCAAGGTGGTATGGCTTCAATTCTATCCATCCGCAATCCGGAAATGGGCAAGAGGTGTCATGTCAACACTCCTGGAGTTTGCAAAGCTTGCCTGAGGGTCACTAAACAACAGATTTATAAACGTGGGTTCTCTCAAGCACGGTATGACCATGGGCCCAAACCGAGAAACCAGTGTCTGGGCTCAAGACCCCCTGTGGGTGGGAGACGACTTGCTGCAAGCGGCGCCCGACGCAAACGGTGCCCTTGGCTCCTGTCGTTGTCATCCGTGACGCGGCCGCCGTAGTTGATGTGGCCAATGACAAAGAGCAAGGTGTCCCAGGGGATAGGCCCATCCAGCTCCTAAGTGCTTAACACACAACGATCTCACAACAAAAACATCGAAATGTGTCTCAAGTTGCAGCGGCCCTCATGGACGAAAAACAACACTTGCCTCCACTTCAGCGACAGGAACATGATCCAAACCTATCCAATCCTGTTAGAATGCATTGCCGGACCAGTTGATGGGATCCAAAGTAAGGGGGAGGTTGCCATCAATCGATGACTACACACACCCTCCACACTTTCAAGACTGGATTTCACCTCTCTGAAAGCAATTCGTGGTGCATCAGAAAAGGTTTCTGACAAATCATCAAGGCCTTTCAAGTCTCCTGCATGTGACACAAAGGAACCGCCTTTGGACAGACGCAGACCTAAACCAAAAGATATCGTCACTTGATTCTGTCTGCTAATATGTGTCCCAAAATAGGCAAATGCCTTTCCACCTTGAAAAATCCATGGTATAACACAGCTTTTTGCTTTTCTTTCGGAAGCCTGTGCGCATGTTTGACTGGACTGAACATTTAAATCTCGGGCGGAATTCATTGAGTGCTGAAATCACAAGGCACTGCCAACAGTGGCTAGACAACAAAGGGGGCAGTTATTTCTCCCCAACGCATCAAACAAGGCAAATCAAAGCAAGCATATTGATGCATGGTAAATTGTGCGACGCCAGCAAACAGCATGGACCAGCTAGTTCATAAATTGGCTTTTCTGAAGCAAAACCCTCTTCAAATGAGCTCATCTGCGGTCTGCAAGCGCAGGTGGTTTGTGATAGCGCCAAAAAACGAAGTCACAAAGGTGGGTATCATTCAGAAATGTCAATAACCCTCCTCAGACAAGTTGGTGCACGCCAGAAATGATTTGGACAAATCATATTGCTGGGATGTTTGACCACCTGCTGTGGATGCTTGCGAAATTCAGTTAATCGTACCATCGTTCAGAAACCCCGGTTACTGATTCGATCCCTGTAAATACCTGCAAACAATGGTTTCCTACAACGTCATACCAAATGGATTTCGTCCATCCACAGTAAGTCTAAGGAATAATTGTCACCTACCAGTACCACTTCTCCACCTTTCCTCCTCTGCCATAAACTCCAAGGCAAATATTCCAGAAGGTAACAGCCACCAGGAGAAATATAGGGAACCCCCTTCGAAGCACATGATGAACTCGCCAAGACGCCAGCATGTTGTGCGTGATTGTCGTTGAGGTCTCCAAGTCCGAGTCATTGAACTCGTAGCCTGGCGTGGGCTGTCGCAACCACTAAACCGGCAGCTGTCCTTTTTGCTTGTCTTTAAGGTACTCGGAGAAAGACAACGGGCAAATCCCTCATGACAATTCCCATCCTGCCGGCTTAATCGTCTCATGCTCATCCCTGCGAGCAGCACAAAGCATCATGGGCCTATTCTATCTGTGCACTCTGTTCCTGCGTGTTGACAACACGTGCTTCACCGCACTCCGCGACCGACATTCATCTCTCATTCCATCACACCCTCGTTCTCAGCTTCTCAGCATTCTGGGCCAGCCTATCATGCAGGCCCATTTGAATAAGTTATTTTTTCTAAACACATGTTACAGTATTGCAGTATTGTTCTCCCAACGTAACAACATTCCTCCACACGCGCAAAACGCAACAGTGTCACGTGTTTGAAGCCGTACCGTGTCTCCTTCCCGCTAAAGCTGTCTATGAATATGGCTGCGGGTGCGCGGATGTGCAGGCGAGCAGGCGGGGCGGGCTTTCAGGTGAGTTTGTTTCCTTTGCTGTGAGAAATTAAATACTTATGCACTTGAAATTCAAACCATAATTGCTGGTTGGTTGCACTTTAAATTTAAACCACTTTAAATCCAACCAACCAACCAACCAACCAACCAACCCACCGACCAACCAACCAACCAACCAACCAACCAACCAACCAAACCATAAATGCGTAGCTCTATGATTTACTCACCGCACTTGTTGGAGAAGAGAGACCTCCGGTGACAGGCTGGACCTGATCATGCGACAAACAGGTCCTAGAAATTGCGGGATACTATTCCGGATGTATATGGGTCTGTGTCCGACGGGCAGGGACCCTCACAATGGATGAGTTGGCTCTTCATTGGCGCCCCTGTACAAGAACAATGTGTGCTAGCGGTGAAATCCATAGGAGTCACAATCAAAACCTGGGATTAAAACGGTGTACCCGAATCAATGAAAAGAAGTCAAAAGGCGTCCGCAGCAACTTATGGTTGGGGCTGTCCCTTGCTAACCTTCACCTATACCCGCGGTTTAATTGCGGCTCATATTGTCCTTTCTGATTTCAATCACACAGCTGAATTTGAGCCAAGCAGCGGATGTTCCAGCCCAGCGGCCCAAACTTCCGTCTCTCCTGCAGCCGGGGGCTATGATTGTGACGAAAGGCGCCCCAAAGCCAACAACTAAAACTTGCCAACTGCTTGGAACGTCGCCCCCCCGCTGGGTTCTGTAACAGATTGTCAGGTGCATCCATCCGTCCAGCCATCCAGCCATCCATGCATCCAGCCATCCATCCAGCCATGCATCCATCCATCCAGCCGACGAGCCCTGCAGACAGCAGATATCCGCCGATCGGTGCATACATCAAGGGTGAGCCCACCTTCTGATTCAGAGGACTGACTGTCTGAGCATGGACTGCCTAGGCTCAAGAGCAGTGAAGAAGCTCCTGCATAGCCCTCCCCGAAAGTTGGTGGCATGCTGTTGTGAAACGGCCACCAGCGGCTTCTCAATCGGATCCCGCTCATGAGCATGGTGGATGCTTCTTGGACGAACGTGAGCAGGATGACTGCAAGACCTCAGCCTTGACAGAGGATGAGCAAAAGTTCCCAATGCAATCTCCACTCTCCCCTGACAACTTCAAATCTCAGCATCCCTGGCCAATTCCCCCTCAAAGCACTCGGGCAAAACTGTGGCGCTGCAAATGCGAAAGGAAACGTCTGGCCTGCGTGGCCTTCAACAAATCATTCAGCTAGTATTTGGCCAGTGAATCAATCAGCCTCAAAACCACTACGTTTCAAGAAAAACTCATACACCTCGTCTGGATGACCCGCCTACACACACGCGCGCACACACGCACACAAACAAACGTCCCCGGATTGAAACTTTCAGGCGTTGCATGGAGCAAGGAATACCTGAGGGTGCGAGCTTGCAAATCCGAGCGATGTCTTTGCTTTCTGCAACTGAGCATTGCAAGTACGCAAATCCGATCCGTCTTGTGGGGATCTAGCGCTTGGGCTTCCCCGCAGCAATCGTCAGGCAAACTCCCCCCTGAACCCCAGGCCCGCCAAAATAAACTCTAAGAAACTCATCCCGCAACCCCGAAAGAAAAAACAACCCAAAACACACCTCTAAGAAATTCATCCCGTAAGCCCAAAACAAGAATACGGAGAACACAACTGACCGGAGACCAGCCAGCACGATGAGTCCGGGGCCTGAATCACCGCATGGAAGAACTTCAAGCCTCGGCTCGCGACAGTCGAAATGTTACCCCACTGGACATGTGGATGGTTGCGACATCCAAAAACCGCAACACGAAAGGGAACCATGGGAATAGAACAAGAAGGTTGGTGGGTATTTATATACATGGGAATCATCAGGGTTGGTATTTACGTTGGGGAATTGAATCAGAAACGAGAGGAGTTCTGGTTACGGTGGTGAAATTTTGTCCATCCACAGTAGAAAAGCTCCTTGATGTCCATGCAAGTCCCCTTTGGTGTCCGTCAATTCACATTTGACCGAACAATGAGGGTTGGCCGGTTAGCCTTTTCCATTCGGGCAGATTCCGATTACGCTGGCGAAATGTTGTGAATGAAGCCAGGGGTCCCTTAAAGGAAACCACCAGTTGGATTGTTTAGAGGGCTCATTCCATTTCTCATTCCCTGCCTATCGCACCAGCCAGAAAAAGGCCCTCCTAGACCTCCGTTGGTCATCTGGGCTGTCCCCACCTTATACAATGTCACGTCCCTCATTCCATGCCTATCGCACCAGCCAGAAAAAGACCATGCTAGACCTCCAATGGTCATCTGGGCTGTCCCCACCTGATAAAATGTCACGTCCGTGTTCCAACTCAAACGAACCGCCCAGAGACAATGCAACAATAGTGTTGTGAATGAAGCCAGGGGTCCCCTTAAAGGAAACCACCAGTTGGATTGTTTAGAGGGCTCATTCCATTTCTCATTCCCTGCCTATCGCACCAGCCAGAAAAAGGCCCTCCTAGACCTCCGTTGGTCATCTGGGCTGTCCCCACCTTATACAATGTCACGTCCCTCATTCCATGCCTATCGCACCAGCCAGAAAAAGACCATGCTAGACCTCCAATGGTCATCTGGGCTGTCCCCACCTGATAAAATGTCACGTCCGTGTTCCAACTCAAACGAACCGCCAGAGACAATGCAACAATAGTGTTGTGAATGAAGCCAGGGGTCCCCTTAAAGGAAACCACCAGTTGGATTGCTTAGAGGGCTCATTCCATTTCTCATTCCCTGCCTATCGCACCAGCCAGAAAAAGGCCCTCCTAGACCTCCGTTGGTCATCTGTCCCGCGCCCAGAGACAATGCAACAAGAGTGTTGTGAATGCAGCCGGGGGTCCCCTGAAAGGAAACCACAAGGGATTTACAGGGATCGCAACAAGAAAACGCCACCCGCCGCATCTCAGACTTCGAGGCGCCGAATTGCAAGCGCCGCCACTCCTTCGCTTTCGCCGAGTCGTTGAGCTGGGCGAAGCCGAAGCCAGGTGCATCCAACGAAAAACAATTCCGCGAGACGTGGAACAACCGAAGAAAAAGGGTTCCCAACGGTCCCAACACAAAGACAGACTCTGCATTGGGTTGCAGCCAACATGTCGAGGTTCTCCCTTGGCTTTCCCTGCAAAAAAAAACAACAACGAGGAAAGGGTTCCCTAAAAGAAAAACAGATGTGCGAACGCGTATGCTGGGGATCTGCAGGGGCCAGGGTCTTAGATTATCCACCAGAATTTGATTGTGGCTCACCTGAACATAAACTCTCAAACTCCTTGGCTGACTTGGATCCATTTGAGTATGTTGGCACAAAACTTCGCTGTTTCCAACCCCCAATTGAACAACAAGAAAACAACTATTGAAAGCAACTAATGATTGATCAACACACAGCCAACAGTGGAATCCGGCTACCGCCTTGCCTCCTTTATTGCTCTCCTTCGGTAAGGCAGTTGATGGACAAGAATACGTCACAAGGCCAGCTGTCCCCCCATGGCCTTCCTTCCAAGCGCACACTTCGCACACTTCCCTCGGTCTGTAAGACTTAGCCGAGGGGGGACCCTTTGGTGAACATTGTTGAGGTGGGGGTGCGTGTCCACCAACCAGTTAAGAGTTGTTCCCGGGTTAAACGAGTTTGACTCTGACCCACACCCACCCACCACGTCAAACACAGAAATGCCAAGCAAGGCTCGCACCATCATATGTACTGTCAAACCAAGAAACACGTTCAACACATAATGGATATACACAAGCAAAGAGGCCGGGCAAACAACAAACCACCGCACAAAATCTGCAGAGGCGAATTCGTTGAGATGAATTCCTTCCTGCCTGGTCATCAGACATGGGCAGGAATGAGCGCACAATGTTGGCTCGGAGGCCTTTGGGCGGCTCTGTAGTGAGCTTGATGCCGTTCCTCAGACCGGAAACGTCATGCCAACCGCCAACCTTTTCCTTGCGGTCACCAGTATAACAGGCATCTCAAATCGGGACCTGGAACCAGTTGAGCTCGATGAAACTCAGAAGCAGGATCAGGGCGCGTTGATACACCCACCGGAACACGAGGAAGGCCACAAGAGGATTCCGTGGGCGTCTTGAAAACGGAACATGCAGCTTGTCAAATCCACCACACATACCGCATGAAACCGAGATACGCGTGGAAAAAGTGCGCAATCCAGCTAAGCCTGCTACAGCCGTTTTCTGAAGCTGATTGGGATAAAGTCGCCGTTTACAAGTCCGCGCTTCTATCCTTCTAATCATCTGTAGTTGACAAGTGCGTTTGTTTGGGGGCCGTCTGCCATGCCCTCTCCAATCCCGCCGCGAGTCCTGAATGCTTGAAAAGCCGAGCAGAGCTGGTTTCTCCTGTAATGGCCGTTGACTGCTTGCTCATCTAACTATCCATTCCTGGACAACTACTATGCAATCTGTATCAAGTCTAGAATGCATCTCCAGAGTCCACGTATCGATTAAACGAGGTACAACACGATCATGATCCAACATCAAAACCCTTGCATCTTGCCATCAACTGATCCCGGTTGCATTCACAAATATGTCTTAGCCCTATGTATACGGATAGCAATATGTTCGTGTCACAACATGAATAATATATATATATATATAATTATATGTGTCTTCTTTAGGGACCCCCTCTAAAACAAGTGGCTCTCCTGTTGGTTTCTCTTTCACGTAGCCACACCAAAAGACAGACCCGGCTGCTGCTGGCTTTGGTTCTATGCCAAGGTTCTGCAAGACCGGCACGGGGAAGTACGCGGCCGGCCTGACAAATCGGATGGCGCGTAGCTGGGTGATTGGAGGCATCACAATTGCTTCGCTGTGGTGTGGCTGACTCACTTGGGTATGATTTGTGTCATAAGGGACTCTTTGGTGGACATCATTTAGGGGATTTATGTCAACATTTCTTGCCAAACACTCCCAACCAGCTAAGTTCAGAAGTTGAGTTGCATTGCTTCCTTAAGGGTTCTACTGCGAATCGCTTGGCAGTGAACAAACAGAACCTTGCGTGATACGGCCACTGAGCTTTGGCTGTGGAACTGTGCCACTGAGTACACATTTGGGATGTGTCGACCCCCCAAAATGCCGGTTTTCCTGTTGGTGTCCTGCTGAGGGTATCCTCAAAAAGAGGGTACCCTCCAACAAAAACACCTAAATGTTGATCACCGGCTGTGGATAAGTAACAAGTACCCGGGTTGAATTGATTGCTCCAATCCACTTGGACGAGCCGGGCCGAGGCATGAGAAGATTAGATGTGAGCTGGGCAATCTGAGGCTCACTGGATGAACCAGAAGCCGACGGCCCAAAGCGGACTTGGCAGCAAACTGTCGCATGTTCAGAAGTCTAGGAACACCAACAGTTTGGGACATGTTGCGCACTCGGTTTCCAAGCTCGAAGTCGCCTCTATGGACATGTTGCCCTAGATGGGTAAAAGTCTAGAGCAGGGAGTTCCGTGTGGAAATCTTAGCCACTCATGTCCCTCCCAAATTTACCCAGCAGCTCACAGGGCTAAGGTCTGCGCATGCTCGTCAAGAAGAGCCGGAAGTCCTTGTGGGTCATGCTCGGCCTCGCCAGCCGGACAGAAAACGCCAGCGATGGCTCTTGAAAAAATAATGTGGTCAAAGTCTATCGACAAACAGGTGAAACATCCTGCTGGAGCCCCGGATGCCTCCGATTTGTTTGTCGCCAATCGACGAACATGCTTCGGGAACCCCTCGGATTATTAGGTGTCAAGTGCCGGATTCCCTCAATGAGACACTCCCAATTAACCAACCATGGGTCTCATCTGGAGTTTTGAGACCTTCTATGGACCATTAGCCTCTAGGGGCCTTGTGGCGGGTTCCAGCGTCGGGAAAGGTAGCAGGTGGCTCATGGCTCCCGAAGTTTCCCCTATTATAGATCACTATGATTAGTAGTGGTCGTCGTCGTCATCGTGGTCGTAGCAATTCGAGCAGGAGCAGCAGCAGCAGCAGTATTGCTGTTATTTGCAATTGGCATCCGCTTGGGCCCGGAGAAAGCCAGGCGAAATACACCATGGGCCATATAAAGGGCCCCAACATATTCGGGAGTGCCCGAATTATCATTGCTCAACTCGTGCAAGTGTGTGGCCAAAGCACAAGCTCGCCAGCAAATCCGCACAAGCATGCACCCCTGCACACTCAACTTAAAGATGAGACTTGAAAGGACTGAGTCAGGGTCACCGAATCTTGTCACAAGGATATGTGAACTTGCTTCCTGTTTTTCTTGAGGGTGCAAGGCTGTCATCTGTCCTGCTGACTTGTTCTGGCCATGTCAAACAAATGGCGTATGTCATTACCTGCACTCGTAAGGGGCTACTGGAGGTAAACGCCTTTACCTGGACAATCCAAAAGTATCGCCGCTCAGTAGATTTTGGATTTGAGCCAAACCTGTCCAATTCATGTTTGTTTTCTGGGTAAATACTAAAAACTCAACCTGGAAGAAGCACCGCTCCCCCCCTCCAAGAAAGAACCCAGCACGGTGAATTAGATCACAAACCCAAAACAATTGAGATGTTGAAAGCCCCCTCACTCACCCGTCACGATCTCAGCAGTGTCAGGCCCTACACACCGCAAACGGATATTTCTCACCCATACGCCGTTAGTCGGGTGTGTACTCGTAATGGGCCATTTACCGCCCTACAACTGGGCAAATTACCATTCACCAACCTAAATTCAACAATACCTAAGGGCCTTCACCTGGAATCGGTGATTGCGCAGGTATGTGCGGTATGTCAAAATGAGGGAAGCCAACATGCGCAACGGTTTCCCTGTAACCTGACATGGGTGCCCTCAAACAACACATACACACACATTTGGCCATGAATTTAAAGAGAAAGTCACCTGTGAAGTAGTTGGTGGACATGAATCCCCAAAGAAACCATACGCAACAAAGGAGCTCTCTAATTCGCAATAATCATGCCCATGTCACACCCATTTCTGTTGAGGGTACCCATTTCGGGTGTCCTTTCGGGGAAACCAACTGGACAGGAAACCAACGTTTTCCATGGGATGGCTACAAGCCAATTCATGACAAACCGATTCTGAGGCCGAAAACTCCTCGAGCTCTTCGCACATCTTCTCCAGCTCAGGCATGAAGGTCCTCGCTTGCAGGAAGCTGGGCATGAAGGGTGTGAAACGGGTTGGGGGAATGAACCAAGGGAGACCCCACAAGGTTCTTGTCAAAATCACTGCGGGTAAGCCTGCGGGTAAGCCTGGGAATTAACATGAGTTTGCGTTGGGAATGAACCCAGGGATGCGTTTTCAAGAAAGGAATGGCTTAGGGGTCATTTTCTTGTTTCCTACTGACAACCAGCAAGACACAAACATGGACATGCACAAACTTCTTTTTGGGGAAAGGAGTCTGTGCACTTCCATGTTTGTTAGGAAGAGACCACCCCACGTGTGGCAGCTGTGGGCCGTAAATTCCATGCGTCGTCTGAAAACATGTTGGCTTCAATTCATGCAGTTGGGTGGAAGAATGACACCATGCCGTTGATCTTGGTAAGACGTTGATCAGCAACACCTGCACGGGGAGAACTTGCGCCATCTACTATGATTTCCTGCGGGAAATGGGAAAACAAGTTTGTGAGATTGGAGTTCTCCCTATTTTGACGCGCAAAAGGGCCGGTGTGTGTGTGGACGGGGGAGGGCGGAATGGGGTGGGTTGGGGGGGGGGGGGGGGATGGTTGCGTTCCCTCTCGACGGACCCCCTTTTGCAGAGCCCTGTTAAGATCAGAGAGCAATGCGTGGAAGTGTTTCGGTTCAACCTCATGGAAACCTCCCCCCGAAAGCGGCTCTTCTCGCCAATCCGTGTGCTTGCTTCGCGACTCGTTCGCGTTTTTGTGGTGGGGCATAGCTCAGCGCACAAAACTCAATACTTACCCCAGGAGCTATGTGAAATGGCAAAGCCGTTGAACTTCTGCAGTAGCCATTTCCAGGAGAAAAGTCACAGTTGCGCTGGTCATGTGTGAACATGCTTCCGTCCACGACGTGGGTCTTCATTATTTTGCAGTTTGTTGCGGGCAGCAAAACGGCCCCAGAAAAGGCCTGGTTTGACTTTGCACTCTTGCGCTAACGCGCCTTAAATCCATTGCACCTGCCATCGTTTTGGCACTTAAGCGCTCAGTCATTCCCGGGCGCTGGATGGCTGCGGCGCGTATTTTGATGGGGACTTAACTAAACGGTAGCTAATCCTGTTTGTAGGGGACTTACAAGAATGGTAAGTGGTTCAGCATGGTTGCTAACCACTTAGCTAACTCCCAGACCATCTAAGTAGACAAACTTCTCACAACTAGACCGACAAGGATCCACAATTGCTGACCGTGACCAAAGGCCTCTCAAAGATCTGAAGTCTTAGGAGCTTCGGCAATAAAGCCAACAAACAATAATCAACCATGAAGCGGGATACATCGTACATGAATATATTGCAGCAAGGGGGGTGCGAGATGATCTCACGTTGAAATTCCAGTGCAATACTACTCTTTTCTACAAACGTCATGACAATAGCAACGCGCAAATGATCCTTACCCCCCTTATAACTACCGCCTTACAATGATAAATATATTCTGAGAAAAGTATTTGCTAATCGGGTAACAGTGGCTACCAGGGGATTCCACTTCGGTCTTGTCCACATGGGCTCCCCCTTCCAGGCACGAATACCATCAACATTGGAATGCACACAAGAAATCTAGATGCAATAGTTCGGGGCCTCCAAACGAAGCTCTGTTCTCAGGCACACCAATACCACTTTGGCTGGTGTCGGCGGGTGGTTTAGTATTGACTTAATTTCAGTTTCGTATCAGGAGGTTGGGCCTGAGAAATTTCAGGTGTATTTATTTGGTCCTGATAGGGTGGATATATTCATGGGGGAAGCGGTTGTCAGATTCTGAGTTGGAGTTTGTTTACATTGTCCAACCGATTCTACGAACTTAGAAGGCAAGCCGCAAACCAGCAACTTCTCCTACTCTGTGACCCTCCCCCCACCCCCTCCCGTGCACCAAAACGACCTCCAACCCGCCAAACATGGGCACTCCCTCCCTGCGTGCTGAGAAATGCGGCCGTGGGGCTTGTAGAGATGGCAGTTCTGGAGCAGCACCCAGGTCCCCTTCTTCCTGGCCTCCACCACCATGGCTTTCGCCTGCGCGACGGAAGAAGATCCCACTGCGAGTCGCTGGGTGGAGTCATCGGGAGCAAACTCATACTGTGGATGGACGGAATCCTGCACCACCTAAGAAACCTGGGAACAATGACTCCCATTGAAAAAATCGTCTACCCAGAGTATGCTGGAATGGACATGAAGACTCTTTGGTGGACAGAAGAAACACATAAGGAGTGTTGATATCCATCGGCCCGCAACCCGCAACGGCTTAACTTTGTTCTCCCAATGAACTGCCAGGTGCTTGGCCCCCTCCGGCACAGCAACAATTCCAAGCACGTGGAAGGCTAAGGCAGAGTGCCTTAGAGTTGGAGATCATCTCAAAGCAACAATGGGTAAAGGTGTCAAATTGTGTTGCACTGCATGCCCCTGCGCAAATACAACGCACAACACCCTCACCAAATGATAGCCTGAAGCCGGTCCAATTGTCCCTAGCTCAACTTTATTCAAGCCTGCAGACCAAGCCACGAAGGTTCAACATCACCTCAACACCTCCCTTCCACATAGAACAAAGAGAGAAAGAGAGAGAGAGAGAGATAAAAAAAGACAGACCTTCAACAAAAAAGAACACCGCACAAATGCTACACTCCACACCTCGCGGTTTTAACCCTTCTCTTACACTCGGGGCATCCAGGTGAAACTTCGTGGCTGTCTTTGTGACATGAATTTGGCCTCCGGATGCCACGGTTCCTCATAAGAGGTCCCTTGTCTAGGTCCTCCCGTAGAGAGTTTAGAATAAGGGTACCCCTTGTTTTTTGTCTATTTTAGTAGGGAAACCTCCCCCAAAAAGGGTGAAAGGGCACTACTGGGGGACCTAGTTGTATATCTTATGAGCTTTCAAAACAAATCCTTCAGACATCTGGGCCGTCCGTTTTCAGATCCCCCGCTCAAAGTGAGTAACTTGTGCGCTAAATTCGGAAATCCAACCACTAAACCAACTAAAAGATCTAAAACCCAAAGGGACCGGATGGCTGGGAACCACCAAGTCAACTGGGCCATTCCTGAAAATCTGACCCCTTACCCCTCCATCAGCTAGGGCAAGGCAAATTCCAAGCACTGCTTAAGAATTAGTTTAGAAGAATCATGCACTGCGGTGCTCCTTGGCACCACGCGTGACAATAAGACACAGTTAAGCAGACACCCCAGGAACCACGAGATATCGTGGGACACGTCCCCCGGCCTTAGGACCTTGACCCTGGCCCAGGGAGATGACGCCCATGGTAGAGGCCTAGGTTGCCAACGTTGCGATGCGGCGTGGGTCGACTCTGGATCTGAACGGGTCACTTCCGTGTCCTCTTTGGTCGCCTTTAAACAGGCTGTTTAAAGACTCGGCTGTCCAAAAATAATCGAATTTGGGTGCCTTTTTTGGTGTGCTTTTTGGTGTCCCTTCAAGAGAGACACAACCGTTTGATCAAAAAAATGCTCTTCCGACGCATTCTCACATGGGCCGCTGACAGGATGACCCCAGAATACATATAACCGTCCGTCGCATGACCAAACAAATTGGAGTGACCAGGTGATGGAAGCAGCTGGGATTTTCAACCCATGCTGTTCGGATGATACACCATACCTAGTCAGAGGGAGGGACATGCAACCTTTCACCTCTTGCTTCACCTAAGGCAATGTTCAGTGATACTCAACACATCCAGAATCAGAGGCATGCATAATCTCATGCGGTACACCGGGTGCAACCTCCCCGCGTCATTTTTGGAGCCCAAAATGTTCGTTACCTAGGAATGTCCTTTTTGAGGGACCCCTTCGAGGTTCCATGTGAAATGGCACAGTACGCAACGTGTCTCTATTTTCCAGCACCATCTTCGGCGAGCAATGATTGCGCGTCCATCACGTTGCGCTCTCCAAGAAACCTCGGTCCGGTGATGGGGGAAAACAACATCTCGACCAGGCCAAAAAGCCAAAACCCACAATTTTACAAAACCAGAAACACCGAATAGAAGATGAGCCGTGGCAAAACGGCTCAGACCGTCCTTTTGAGCTCAAGACGCTGTTGAGGTCCAGCGGAGACATGGGAAGCAGCTGCTGGAGGGCGTTCTTTAGCCTGCCCTGCCGCTGCTGCGTCCGGAGCTCCAAGAAGCACTGGAGTTGAACCATGGACCGAGCTTTGACCTCCTTCAGCTCTGCGATGTCCTCCTGCAGGCCCTGGAACTCCTGCCGCTGAATATGGCTGTCATGTTGCTGTTTGTTTTGTTCTTTCTTTTCGTTTTTTTTCTTTTTTCTTTTTTGTACTTGAGGGAACCCCTGTTTGGCAGTGGTGTGTTGCAGGACAACGAAAGGGAAAACCAGTGTGTGTGTGTGTTTTTTTGTTTGGGGGGGAGGGTCCCCTATTTGAAGACAACCAATATGTTGATCTTGGTGAGCAACCTGTCCAATTTCCTCATCTGCTTTGGGAAAGCACACGTCAGTCAATTTGATTGGTGCTCAGTCACATGACGCTACCACCAGGGCTGGAAACACAACCGTGTGTTGGATCAGTAGTTTCGAATAGGATCGCATATACCAAGTAGATTAACATGGAGTCTGAAAAGTAATCTTCCAAAACATGATAGTTTTTGTGGGTTCCGTGTTGATCTGTGGGGGAGTAGTGTGTTGTGTGTGTGATTGTATCCGTGCTGAACTTTCGAGCCACTTGAGATTGAGCCCCTCACTGAGATCCAAATCGGTTCAACATGCCCCACCGAAGCCTCAGGAAGCCTCGTCCTGTCAAATTTGGCTATCCAACATCTCTGTGCAAGTTTCCACCATGAGCCAAACGAGCCCAAGGTGTGTCAACACATGGCAGATTTGTTTTTGGACCTCTCAAACAGGTGCACAGCATGAGTACGAAGCAAACCAATCCCGAAAAGGCTGAACGTATTCACACTCGCCACTCACATAGCCGAATTTGGTGTTTTTCCTCAAATCCATTGTAATCCTTCAGGCCCTACATGCGGTGGCCGAGGGGACCCTCCCAAGCAAGCATGATTTGGTGCTTGTCCAAAAGAAAAGTAATCTTACAGGTCTGTGCAGCAACCAATTGGCCCACATCTGGGGCACATAGAACATCACATGTGCTGATTCTGCTTCATATTACGTCTACCAAGTCTACCTAAACTATAAGAATCCTTTTGGGACTGGAGACCTCAGGCTTATTGGTTGTCAAAAAGGCCGAGCTTTGGAGGTCAAACCCCTTCCAATGATCCAGGCCCCTCCAACGGAGCGTCTCCTTCGCCAAGGTCTGCCTCCTCCGATCCTCCAACAGCGTGTCGTTCTGCAGGCGATGAAGCTTCTCCTTAGATGAAAGATCACTGGGTGGTCCTCCTTTAGTTTCCCTATCATTTCAGCATCTCAAAAAGGACACGCTCAAATGGTCACATGTCCATGCTGGACCAGACGGGGAGCCCATTGCTTAATCTAGCGACCCTTTTAACTTTTGAACTAGGGGATCTGGGGGGGAACAATCACAGATTCTGCCAGGAGTATTCATAGGTCGACATGATCTGTGACACGGCCCCCCGAGTTTATTCTGTGATCACAAGTAATTAGCAACAGCGATTTAGTGGAACACTCCTCCGCCGTTTCTGCATGAATAACACACGAAAGGACTGCATTCTGAACGGAAGAAACACATTGGAGGCTCGACAAACGAAGCCCCATGGCCAAGCTGACTCGTTGCCAATAGAGCGCGTCAACGGAATCGTTCATTGTCAGAAAGTTGCTTTGGACGGCTCCCACAGGTGTCAGTTTCATGAGGGGATTTGGTGTCAGGTGGCTCCTTATCAAGATTCGCAATCATGATCCAAAGTCCTGTGGCTCATGGTCATGAACTCAACGTGCAAGTTTAAACAATTTTGTATGAGCCTGTGGACAGGCCTATCATAGTCATCCCTTTGGACAGGCCCATGCAACCCTCGAGAAGGTCCCTCATCCAGGCAGGCTGCAACCCAAACCCACCTGCAATGCAATGATGATATCTCTCTCTCTCTCTCTAAATAGTGTGGGTTGCACAGAAACTGCACCTAAAAAGTCATTTGCAGACCGCCTTCTAAATATTCACTTGAAGGAACACTAAAAATTGCTCAAGAGGGTACAGTTGGTCCCGTGAAAGAGAAACAAAAGGTGCTGCTGGGACCGTCCCAGCAAGAAGTGTCCATACCTTTTTGATTTGGTGCTTGCTTGGAGGCTAACAACCCTGACCAATGAGCTTTTGGTCCATGTCAACTAGAGCCGCATGAAAAGCAAGTTGGAACTCTTGCTCGCCGAAACTTCAATTGTAAATGGTCACGACCATCAAGTTGAAACGCGCTTCCTGTGGATGGGCAAAACGCACTTCACACCAGGGCAGTTGCAACTCACTGGTGTTCCAAAACAGTGCAATTTCCTGGAAAAACTGGGCTGTCCTCAGATCCCGCTCAAAATTTTCACTTTTGGCGGGTTGAATGGAAGCCCAACCGCTAAACCCAAAAAAGCCTTCTAGGCCCAGTGGAGAGGTTAGAGTTCCAGGGTACCAACCTTTTTCTGTCTATAGGGGAACCCTCCCCCCAAACCAGAAACGGTGAGAAAGGGCACTGGGGGAACCGGATCCGACCCTTGCGGGCGTGTGGCCCGGCAGTCCAACAGCAGCTCCTGTGGCGCGCAGTCCATGGGCTCTGCGGGGGGCACGGAATCCAAAGCCACCTGCGCAGCCTCCATCAGAGTCTTCTTGTACGCCTCGGGGCATTGTGTAAACATATATATATATAGAGGGGGGCATATATATATATATATATTTGTACACACATATGTGTATGTATATCTATATACATATACATATGTTAACATGTATGTGTCTGCCTGCCTGCCTGCCTGCCTGCCCGCCCGCCCGTCCGTCCGTCCGTCCGTATTTATGTATGTATGTATGTATGTATGTATGTATGTATGTATGTATCTCTATTGTATGTATCTCTATTGTATGTACATAGGGGGTACCTTGACTATGACAATGGGTAGGGGGCACCTTGAACCTGGAACAAGTCAATGCATGTTCTTGTTTCCCGGTGCAATAGAAAAAGGACAAATGGGCGCACCGGCCGGGGGGGCATACTGTAATATATTCAAGGATATGTATATGTATATATACATATATAGGGTTGCAATTCTCCCCTGCTAAACTTGTGTAGGCTTAATGGAAGTCAATGTCATATTTTTATATACCCCCCCTGAGCCAAAGGCCGAACCTTTTGTAGGCTTCATGGAACTGTATTGTGTTTCCATTGTTGTTTGAAAGCGAAACTCAAGGAACACACTCTTATGCTGGGGGTTCCGAAAATTTGATACAAAGCATGATGTAAATACGCCCTTTCTAATTGCGGTAACATAACATTGTATTCGCATAGATGTTTCCCCAAATCGGAGGAAACTCTTTTATGAGTAGTGCCCGGCGGCACTCCCCTTTTGCATCATTCAAACATAGTTCCTTCATTGTATGACACACACACACACACACCTATGAACATTAACCAATTACCGGTGCTGATGGCCACAGTTCTTCATTGTTGAAAGAATATGTATGACCCAAGGGGAGCTGGCCTAGTGCAGACATATACAATAGCAAAGGTCATCAATCAAACCGTATATGCATATACAAAATAATATGCAGACATATGTATACATACTAAATTCACATATATATATATATATACACGTGAATTCTACATACATATATATATATATATATATGACTATGCACAAACAAGTACACACCAAACACAGTAAAGGAGTTTGCATACGCTCCATGCTTGTACTGTGCAAGACCGCGGAATGTGTCAAAGGCAATCGAGACTCTCCAAGCTGAATTCAGCTCACCAAAGGGAGATTTCATCTTTGGGCACTAAGCTGAGGTCCTCCTGGGTCCGCATAAAATACAAGGCCCTTGAGAGGTCCTGGGTCCTCCTGGGCCCTCCTGGGCCTTGGGTTTTGGCAAACATGTCAAACAAGGCCCTCCCCCGGGCAAAAATGGCTTGCTCCATGTTGGCTTCTCCTAAACACTCTGCCCCGAGGAAGTCCTACGCGGTGGTACTGGCAATGGGCACAGCTTACCGCACAAACAATTGGGTCGGTCTCATTTAAAATGGTGGACTCCCTTTGGTTGGATTTGGGTAAAGGGCAACCACAAGCAAACCAACCACATTTGGGGACCCATACTTTGAGAAACACCCACTTTGTAAGAGGACTTGGGGGGGAATTCGTGTGTCCTACCCAAACGAGCCCAAACTCACACGAGACTTCGGAGAAGGTTGTCAGTTGCTTTCAAGGGAAGAGCAACTTGCGTAATGCCGCATTTCGATGCGTTGTAAGAATGCGGGAACATGAATATCGGCAACTTTAGTGGGAAAAAGGCGATGTCACAAAGATGATCCTTGGTCGTGCTTGGTTTGTTTGAACAAACTGAATGAACGTTCTCCACGACGTCTTGCAAACGCCCCATGCTGCTTAGTATGGGAGACAGGGGAAGCGAGGGGAAGCGAGGGGATCAACTGTTGAAGCACCCAGGGGCCGATTGTGTAGCACACCATCACAAACGCTGTTTTCACCATTGACGTGAAACAACATGAGCATGTCATGTTCAATGACAAGAAGATCCCGACCACACCACGTATGTTGTGCAATTACATTGACATCTTCAGGGTATCTCATTCCACTGGGGTTTAGGGTTTAGGGTGGTGTTTTACATGAAACGGTGTTGATGTTCCGGGCTGAGTGGATTTGCTGCAAGGACTTCATCAAGCTTGCCGCTTTAGACTGGGGCGTCCCGTTCTCGCAACCCCGCCTGGCGCTCCTCCCAGCGATCCTCCGCCAACTTCACCTGCGTGAGGCCAAGCTTCGGCTCATCTTTGGGGAACTTCCACACATATCCACCACCTCGTTTAAATCCAAGCTGCAATTTCCCCACAACCACGCCTTTTTGGGAACTCCACATCCCACTGTTTGGGAACTCCACAGAGGAAGTTCAACTGGCAGTTCATCTTCTGGGAACTTCCACCACCGTTTTTGACATGTCCACCTTGTCTAAACCCAATCTCCGATTTTCCAAACCACCATGCCTGCTGGGCTGGCCACTGGCCAGGGGGGGATACTCAGATTCTCGTGAGTCGGGCAGAACCGGGCAAGACTGAGGGTAAGTCCCGCGAAAACCAAGGTACCTATACCCCCCACCGAAACTTATATGTGCGATTCTACCTTGGAACCGCAAAATGTCAGACATGTGTTGACAAATCATTGGGCTGACTTCCATTTGCTTTAAGTCCCCTGGAAATTTCCGGGGAGAACTTCCAGCGACAGATTCCCTCTCAAACCAACAGGGCAGAATAAGACATGTTCATTTCGGCAAATGGAAGTTGACCCCCCTAGGCGCCGAGGCTTTACCTCAAAACCCTGGATTGGATGCCAGCCCAGGTGTGCCACCCAGCAACACAGGGTTCCAGGGTGGCAAGCGTATGACCGCTGTCTGGCCTCGAGAATGAAACCCAAGAGCCGATCGCTGTTAAGATTCACCCAAAACCCAAACAAAAATGCCGTAAACCCTAAGGGGGGTAGGAGGGGTGTGTGTGTGTGTGGTTGCCTAACTTGGCTTCCTCAAGACTTCCTTAGGGCTTTCTAGGTGTTTTTTAACGGAATCTTAGGGAACAACCTTGGGGAACCCACCCCTTTGACAACCCCTGAGGGGGACTCCATGAAAAAGTGCCTCAGGTCCAACTCGGGCAGCGAGAAATCCCGCAGCCTCCTCCCGGAACTCCGCGGTGCTCCGCAGGAGCTGCGACAGCTCCTTCTCCGCCTCCGCGATGCGCTGCCGGAACTCCTGCACGTCCTGGAGCAAATCGGAAGGTCTGGCTCAAAATACAGGACTGTCTCAATACACGTACACATACACGGAGGATATATATATATATATGTATATATATATTTATACGCATACATGTAGATATATATATATATATACACTATATACATACAATATGGGTGTGTCTAGTATGATATGGGTGTGTCTTTTTTGCGATGGTGCCCTTTGTGGTTTCTTTTCAAGGGACCCATCCATGTTTTGGGGGGGAGGGTGTGGAGTCCAATCCTCTTGGAACTAGTCTTGGGTTGGAGATATCCAGAATGTGGCCATCCCCGCCTGTAACTGGGATCTATGGCTCACTTGAGGATATTGGCCAAACAAAGTCACCCAACTTGTTGTCCAAAAATGGTCCAAACACAAAAAGTGACTAAAGTTCAGGAACTCGTAGAAATGGATTCCCACAAATATCGTGCTGGATTGCATTGCGGGGCGGGTGCAAATGGATGCCCACAAATTGGTCAAATATAATCTCCACTTTGAGGCTTCTCTTGCAGTACTTGGTGGGTGGAAACGGATTCCCAGCAAATTGGTTGAAAAAAATGTCCTAGACTCCAACAGTAGAAGGGCACTAGCAGCGAATCCAAGGCAAATGATGTGGTTTTGCAGGGAACCGTGGAAACCTTGCTCTTGTTGGATGTTGGCCTTGGCGGGAAACCAACATGACAACCATGTTGAGGTGTCCTATGCAATGCAAAGCCACCTTTCAGAAGCACTGGAATGGCTCGATTCCCCAACGTAAGTACCAACAAACGTTCTGGATTCAACCATGGTTTCAAAGTGGTGCAGGATTCCAATGGCCATGTTCTTGGTAGCTTCCTGCAACCTTTGAGATACGTTCAAAGACGGGCACCTTCCCCCCCCCAACCAGTCCAGCTGTGTCTGCTCGTCGAATTTCCTCAGCTCCTCCTTCAGCTTTCGCAGCTCGTCATCGGGTACCCGCAGCGCCGTGCCCGAGTCACCCACCGGCGGTGTCAACCCATCGCGCCCGCGCGAATGGAGGACACTGCCGCGAGGCGGCAGATTGGCGCTGCGCAAGCTGTTGCCATCAACCAGGAAGCCTGAAGCGATTTCGGCGACAAAACCCTGCAGGATTTGGGTGAGTCTAATCTTTAAAACAAACTGGGTGGGTTTTTCCTTCTGGTTGCCTTTTAGGAACAACCAACATGGGTACCCTCAACAAACGACACCTATTTTTAATAGGGGCCTGGAGTCAAAGAACACCATCCTTGCACCTCAGTACCACGCCTGAGGAGTTTCTCTCCAGGCCGGCGGGCAATGGCTCGCCCTGTGGCGACGCATCGGATGGGTCGTCGGGCTCAGGGACCCGGTCCAAGAGCAGCTTGAGGCGTTCCAACTGGAAGTCCGCCTCCAGGTCTTCCAGCCATCCCACCGGCACCTCGAAGTGCCTCACAAGGCGCGGGTTTGGGGGGGGGTCATGGCAAGAAGGGCCGCTGGTTTTCTTGGGGTTGGCGGACCTAGGGAAATCCAACAAAGGAAAGGGATGTCACTGAAGCCAACAAAACTCGCGAAACTCGCGATCCAGGAAGAAGTCTTTGCTACAAAGAAGAAGAAGAAGAAGAAGAAGAAGAAGAAGAAGAAGAAGAAGAAGAAGAAGAAGTGTGCACGGACTGACAAAATTGGGGCTGGGGGTGAAACTCAGAGATATTCACACAAGGCCAAGGTTGCAGACATGCGAATTCTGATGGGCAATACCTTCCAAATGGTTGGTGGTTGGACGTATATCCCCGTGTTTTGTTCGGGTGTGCACCAAAGAGGTCCCAATTCAAAACCATTGATTTGGGCTTGTCTCCAATAGGATTTGGAACCTCCAGCAGCACGCGGCAACCTAACTATACTGGTGCTTGGACACTTCCAATTTGCTGATTGTTCGTGAGTGTGGCAAAATCGCTATTTTGATGCTCATTTGATCATCTCTGAGAGCCAGCCAGCTTGCACAAAACAATGCACAAGATAGGGCACACCTTTCGTTTTGGAGCGGGCGCACCACCCAAACGATTTTCCAAACAACAAAAAGCAAAACGGACACCCGCCCAACAAATCCGCCAAATCCACTTTCAAAGCCCAAGGTGCAGCAACGTGCGGATGGCGCGGCTGTTGGGGCCAAGGCTGAGGTGGCGCTTGCACTGGTGCAGAAACCTGCAAGAGGGACATCTGAAACCAAAGATTGGCTGGTTTGCACAAAACGAACCATCGTGGATGAGTTCAAAAGAGAACTAGGAATGAAAACGCACATCTTTTAGAGGTCCAGTATCTCAGAACCAAATAGTTTGAACCTCTCTGGGGTGCGTCCTAATCCCTTTCACCGCACATTTGATGCAATGACGCTCGTCTCAGTTCTTTTGAAGGGGCTGAGGCATAGACCCTTGACAACGGGGGGGTTCCTTCAGTTTGGCCTTTCCATACACTGCGAAACTAGATCCATCAATATCGCAATATTTCAGGGCCCCTCCCCTGTTTAAGTTCGGTCCAATCCGCTTTACTGCCAAATCTTCCAACAAAGGGGTCCAAACCGTTTTAGACAATTTGCGCCTCCCCCCGGTTGCCAACATTGTCCAAAAACAGCCGACATTTGAGCCACTGTTTCAACTCCCAGATTTGTAACGGTTCAACTCAACGGATTTGGGTTCCAACCACTAGAAAAACAACAATAACGGATTGAATCTTTAAACACCTCTTCCTTCGTTTTTGGACAAATCAGGATTTTCTTTAGCTCGGCGTAATTCGAGTCGTCTCTCAGGATAACTCTTCCCCTTATTTCCGCGCCCCGATTTGGTCCTAGAAACTCCACCCGTTTGGGGAACCTCCCCTTTGGCACCAGCATCTACGGACCCAGGTATGGGCCAACTCTCAGGTGCGCCTGTTGTTTGCCCTGTTTGGATGTTTTTAGCGGGACACCGAAAGGAGACGAAGCACTTTGGCTCCAATTTTCGTTTTGAGACCTGGAGATGTCCTCCAGGCACATGCCCAACAGCTTGTCCTCCAGGAATGCCAGCAAGCTCACCCCAATCCTGCAGCGACGGTCTGTCATGCCAACCCCGAACTCATAAGCCCATCCCTTTAATCAGGGCCTGCTCCCGACCAGAGGTGAGAAACCCCCACTAAACGGGGCATCCCACAAAGCACGGCTCTTATTCATCCGGGGTTCCCATTGTTCATTGCGGCCCTTGGATGGCATGGTTCACCCCCCCGGTTCAAGCAAAAAGACAATTTGATGCCAGCTGTATAGAACAGCTCACCCCGCTGTTGTACCAACATGGTCAAAGACACACAAGGGCAATAACACACACACACACACACACACACACACACACCCAGTGTCACACACAAACACGCATACACAAACATGTAAACAAACAACCAAACAAGCAAGCAAACACAAACACACAAACAGACAGACAAAAAACTTAATTAAGAAAAATACAACCACAAAATAAAGCAAACAACAAAGACAAACAGACAGACAAATAGACAAGACAGGAAAGGACTGGACGGGCAGGACGAACACACAAACACAAACAAACAAACAAACAAACAAACAAACAAACAAACGAACAAACAAACAAACACACAATCAAACAAATAACACAACAAGCAAACAACCAAGCAAACACAAAAACAAAAAACACACAAACAAACAAGCAAATAAACAAACACCCCCCCCCCCCCCGCAAAAAAAAAAAGAATAAAAAACAAATAATAATAATAAGAAGAAGAAGAAGAAAAAGACAACCACACAACCACACAGGCAATCAATGAAACAAACAAACTAATAACTCATTCAATCAACCAATCAGCCAAATCAATCAATCCATCGATCGATGAATCAATACTTCAATCAAACGAACTAACGAGAAAGCAAGCAAGCCAGCAAACAAACACACAGACAAACAACCAGCCAACCAACCAAACAATCACCACACCGACACCAAAATCAAACAAACAATCACACGCACAAACACACACACACACACACGACAAACACAAAAACAAACCAACAGCCAATCAAACAAACAAACAATCAATCAAACAAACAAACAATCAAACAAACAAACAAACAAACCAAAAACCAAACAAACTCGCAAAGAAGCAAGCAAACAAACGCGCAAACAATCAACCAGCCAACCAGCCAGCCAACCAACCAACCAACCAACCAACCAACCAAACAAACAAACAAACAATCAAAAAAAACAACAATCAAACAAACAAAGCCCAGGCACACAAACAAACAAACACACGCACAAACACAAGAACATACCAGCAACCAAACAAACAACCAAACAAACCAAACCAACCAACCAACAAACCAAACAAGAAAACAAACACACGAACAGGCAAGCAAGCACACAAACAACTTCACAAGCAAAGGGACAAACAACTAAGCCAACACAAGGAAGACAAACAGAAACAAACAAACAAACAAACAAACAAACAAACAAGCAAGCAAACAAACAAACAAACAACCAACCAACCAACCAACCAACCAACCAACCAACCAACCAAGCACACAAGCACGCAAGCAGACAGACAAACAGACAAAGACACACACACACACAAACACACTCATGGAGTAGAACAAACACGCAAAGCAACAACAAAGCAAACAAAGCAAGTTACACCAACACAACACACAGCAAATCAAGTGTGACAACATAAAACAAGCAAATACGTCAAGGCAACCCCAACAACAAGACCGAAACAAAGACGGCAACCAACACATGACGAAACACAACAAGTCACAGAACCTCGCAACTGAACCAGTTAACATGCACAAACACATCCACAGAAGCACACACACAAACACAATTGCGCGCATAATCAGACACACACAATCACGGGTACACACACACACCCTCACAATCAAAGAGCCTGGCAATCACGCACCCCAATACACAGCGCAGAGACGCACGCACACACACACACACACACACACGTCAGACGCAAATCTAACACAAGCGTCAATTTCTAGGGCCAGTTGATGCATCAAAGGCATTTCAAAGGCCGAGCATCTGGAAAAAGGCCTTCCAGCCAAGCAAAAAGAAGACATCGTAGACGTGGGCCAGCAGGTCAGGCTCTAAGGTGTAGGAAAAAAGCGTCAGTACGCACCTGTGGCATGGACACATGCATCCTAAAAGTCATGAGACCTTTTCCGACGGTGTCCCTTTTGGTTTCCAGGTAGAACATCCTCTAAATTTGGGTCCCCTATTTGGCCATGGGTCAAAATCCCGTACCCCCAGTGAACATCCCAATCCCCACTAAAATAGGTTCTAAACTGGGTGGTGCACCAATGTCCCAAAATGGGATCCCATTGGTTTTGACCCACAGCCATTTCAATCAAGCAACAGGCTTGGAGCTGAGCCACCATGTCGTATACCAATGTTTGACTATCCCTCAAAGTTCTTACCGGGTGTCTCTTTTCTTAGGGGAAGCCTCTGAAAATGCATTCGGTTTTCCTCTTGGTTTACCTTTAAAACCACCAAGCAAGGGATACCTCAATTCAAACAGACTCATGTAAAGGGGGCTTTGGATAAATTTAGCGCCCGGGTTGCCCCAACTGGCACCGGTTCCGCTGCCTTTGAGGCTCTTTGACAGCCATAGGAGGTCTCCAAGTGGCTTGTATGCGGCTCTGAGAGGGTAAACACAAGGCTATTTGGCTGTGGTTGTCAAAACTAGGTATCCAAAATGCGTTGCCCTGGTAAATGGACACATGGTCCCCTGGTGGTGTAATGTTCACCCATACCCATTTTCCAACCATCTCCTTCGCGGAAACGTTCAAAGGCTTAGTACTGCTGCAAACATCATTGTCCTCTTAGGTATGTTTCGCAGTTCCATTGACGCAAGGCGCCCCATGTGCTTCCTTACATCACCGCGTCCGACGTTGACGGACCCAACAACGCGATGTCCGAGGTCAGCAAGGATTGACAGGGGGAACCTGTGACGCTTGGGTGCTTTCCTTTTTTGCCGTGTGAACATGCCATGTTCGGCACATGCTTCTAGGGGCAAATCAAACGCTTCGCAAAAATGGCTTTCCAAAAACAGATTTGGGCTTGTCAAACTGCCTCAGTGAAAGTAGAAGTTTAACTTTTCAACTCAGATCGTCCCACAAAAAAAAGTAATGTCAACTTCGGATGAATCCGGAGACAGTACTAATGCGAGGGTGGTTCCCCTTTTGGTGTCCGGCCATGTTCCATTTAATCGCGTGTCCCTTCTCTGTTTTTTTCCCAAGCTCCGGTTGCGCGGGCCGTTTTGGAAGCTTCAACCCCGGCGCTGGTGTGCGAAGATCTCCAGGGAGTGGCCGTCCTCCCTGAGGTGCCGCCAGAGCCGCGGCAGCAGCTTCCGCACCAAACCCGCGAACTGAAAGCACCGCAGCGGCAGCAAAGGCACCGAAGGGGCGAAGACGTAGCGGAAGTGGTACCCTCAGTGGGAAAACGTTTCCCGCGCGCTCTTTGGCGCTATCTTTGGCGCAGGGAAGACCCGAAGAAAGCAGCAATTGTCATGGGAAACCAACAGCAATACCAGCATATTTGCATGCTGTGTTGACACATACCCTGTGAAAGAGAGGGACCTTTTGTTCGAAGCCCATGGCCAGAGGCAACATGTAACTAAGAAACAAAATCGGAAATCCCGGGGGAAGTGCGCCCAAAGCCTTGTTTGGTGGGTGGGTACGCGAATTCCTGTAGTATACTTTCTCGTAGCTGGTTTCTGTGGAGTTAGGGAAAGAGCGCGTGGACAAAGACCAAAAGTCCGCATACCCACTCACCTCATAGAGATTCATGATACGGTAAGCAGTGGGTCAATATGATTAAACTGGACTGAACTGTGAGCTCGCTATACTCCCTCAACTGAAAACCTTAGGAACAGGATGGCTGGTAACCACCAGGGAATGTTGGACAGGTTCCCCTCCAAAAGTGCTGCTTCCCCACTAACCCCAGGGACACCGTGTCCCCTATCTATAAACTGGGGTGGATTACTATGGCGTCAACATTAACCTCCGTGTCCAAATTGACTTGCTGCTGCTCAGCAGGGAATGTGACAATGAACCCAGGGGTCCCCGTAAAGGAAAAGGAATGGTTGGGGTTCGTTCCGTTCATTCCATTTCTCATTCCCTGCTGAGCACCGGCGAGTGGATTTGCATCTGTCCTGCCTTCCATCAGGGCCAGCAGCAGCCAAAAGGCTTCGCACGGCGAGCCCACATGCAGCAGCAGAGTGGCCGCCACGAAGTTCATGCCCTGAGCGTTCACTCTTGAAGTTATTAAGGCTGACACAGGTTCAACCAGCTTAAGTTGGGAAGAACTATGGTTACAAAGAGGGTCCCATTAGTATGGCTGTGAACCTACTTACCTTGAAGTGGATTGAACATCCAAGTTCAGAGTGATCTGGGCGATGACTGACAAAACGGGATAAATGTAAAGATTTCCCCTTCAGGATGACTATAACAAAACCTAGAAGGGCACTGGTGCCGGTGCCGTTCCAGCAACCATGGTTGTAGCATACCAAGATATACCAAGTGGGTTGAACGGCTCGCTTGAAAGTTGGGACTCGTGGCAACACAACACATGTTGATCAGGTTGGGTTGCGCTTTTTTGTTTTTTGGCGGTGATTGGATTCAAACAGGTTCCTACTGTAGATAGTGTCTAGGTAATTAACCTGGCTACATTTCGCGGTTGGGGGGCTGGTGGTCCTTTGTTTTCTGGCGGAGGTAGGCAGACCATATTGAGAGACTGCTTTCCACTTCCTATGCGCAGCTTGGGAATAAACGCTGATATCCACCTGAGTTTGGTATAGCCAGTTGGCTTTGCAAGAATCTCAATGCAAGGCACTGTTTAAGCAGGTCATAGAATCAGGTACCCCTTAATTGGCGGTTCGGATTGGTGGTTTGGTTCATTTGAGCTCTAGTTCCTGTTGACACCAAATGACCCCAACTCCAAACCGCCGATTCGGCTCCACCCTTTTAATTTTCAGGGAAGCTAAGTCCGGGCCCCTCTTACGTTGGAGTGGCCCTGGGGTGAGTACCCCACCCCCGAAGTCGCGCCTGGCAATAGCCCACCATGGGCTCCGCCAGCACCGCGGCCTGCAAAACCTGCGACAGCTCGGCTCCTGAGGCTCAAAGGAGTGCCTACAACTTGCTGCTCGGGGAACGAGACATGGAATGACCCATATAAACCATCCCCTGCTCTCTTCAAAGGAATCCCTGGGTTCATTCCATAAGAAAATCCCAGCTGACTGTTCGGCACCTTCGATTCTTCGGAAAATGGGAACTTACACACGGGGAAATGAATGTGTTTCTTTTTTTTTCAGGTTTGATGGGGCTATGGGGAAGTGAGCAGCGCCCAAACTCATTAACTTGTGATTCTACCAAGATGATTTTACTGTTTTACAAAGGCCTCACCACAACCCGCATGAAACCAAGTAGAGCCACCTACTAAATGGCCAACAGGGGGGTTGGCGCGCTTTGCTTCTCACTTGAATGTTGAATCTACGTAAGTAGGTCACAACCAAAACTATGAATGGAACAGTCAGTTGGATTTACAAACGTGGTTGGAACCCACTAAGTGGGCCGAACATGCCAGTTGCCATGGTATCCAGAGAAGTAAACATCAGGTGAAAATCGTCAAGAGTGTGCCGTTGTAGATGACCAAGACCCAGAGAAACCAGGAGGAAATACACTCCAAGTTACCCATACCGGTAGCTCACTCCAAAACCATTGCTGTTGGGAAAACGCGGGCGGGAATGTGCCTTGCAGGGCAGTGCCCTGCACTTGGAACCTGACAGGAGCCTGTGTTTGCCTGCAGGGACCCTCTGGCAGGTTTAATTGCAATACACTGCGGTTTGCATATCATAGAACCCGCAAAAAGGATCAATCCATATTAATCCCACTTGGGGGAACCCGCTCTTGGGAAAAATGTGAAACCGCAGACTGCAGGTACGAGTATGTAAGGGTGAAGGGCTTGCTCAGGGTGGCAGGTGGGGAAAATGAAAGCCCAACCGGAAACACCAAACACGGAAGGACAAGGACAAGGAAAAGTGAACAGCCGTTTTTGGCATGAAGGGAACCACATGTGTCCATTAAGTATCCGGGCCTTGAAAAAAGGAACCCAGCGGGGTTGAGCCTCGAATACGGGGGTTGCAGCCATCTTGGACCCCTAAATATATGGGCAGTCAGGAACAACATTTTACTCAACCTCACCCAACCGCTGCTAACAGTCCAGCCCCCGCCCTGCACAGCAAGCGGCTCGAGTCTAGGCTTTGGGGAGGGTCCCTGATCCACAACTTGGCTTTTCTATCAGGTTCTTGGTCCGACCTTTTTTGACAAGTGCTGGAATCTGTCCGATCAAAAAAAACAAAAAAAAGAAAAAGGCGGCATAGATATGTTCGACACAACTATAGACACAAACACAAACAAACACACACATAAACACAAACAAACAAACAAACAAACAAACAAACAAACAAACAAACAAACAAACAAACAAACAAACAAACACGCACACACATTCACTCTCACACTCTCCTTCTCTCTCTCGCTCGCTGTCATTCACTCACTCACTCACTCATTCACTCATTCGCTCATTCGCTGTCGTGCTCGCTCGCTCGCTCACTCACGCACGCAAGCAAGCACCGTGCGCACACACACACAAACACTACCTCAATGTATGCTGCAGTCAACATTGGGCAGAATGGATGGCAACACGAAGCTCCCATACCAAAAGCAACGATGTGTCTTACAATGCATACATACGCATACTCACCACACACACACACGTGCCATGATCAAATCTCTTTATATTATGGCCTATGGTCATTGTTGCCTTAACCTGCTTAATTAGTAAGGATCCTTGCTACCACATCCCTAGTACCCCAAATGAAGGTTTTTCTGACCATGGCACATGGGGGCTGATCAAATGATCCTCTACATAGGGTGACCATTGGGGGAAGCCACTAAAGAGATGATATTGCCCACTAAATGGGACATGTTACCCGTGGTCATTGGGGGCCAGGAATATTGATATCAACCCCCCACATACAAAGAAACACACACACACACACATTTGCGTCGTTCTGCTACGGCTAAGCTTCTTCCGGGAGCGCCCTGGCTGAAGCGCTCGTGGGTGGGATAGGTGCGGTGCACGTCTCGCTCGATCTCCGAGACCTTGGCCTGTGAGTGCAACCCAAAACAGAGTCCTCCCTTTCTCAGTGGAGTCACCCTGGTCAAATTTCACCCTTTCTCGGTGGAGTCACTCAAAAAGAAAGTCGAGTGACCATAGTCCAACCCTCTTTGGGCTTGACGAGTTGCAAACAAAACATGACACAGGGGAAGATGATTTCGTGCCACTGAAATTCGGGAAATGCCGCAGTACGGGCCATGAGCAACTGGCGTGTGACTCGAAATATAGTTTGGCCCTTCCGTTCTCTCAAGCAAGGTTTCAGCTTGCACCAAAGGACAATTCTGTGTATAGCCTGTGTAACATCCTAGCACCATTTAATAGAACCCATTCATCAAACTCGCTGAAACAACGACATGATCATAGTACCTGAAACAAGAACTTGTTTCTCTAACCCTGAAAATGTTGGGACCTCACAAGAGGCCGTTTCGAAGACCAAACCCTTCCAATGGAGATCGATACCCCTCCAGTGGATGGTCCAAAGATCCGCAGGCAAGGGACTTTTCATGGGTCGCGATCCAATTTGCGCACTTCCCGTGCTTTCTGTTTGAAACCTCTGCCCCGACATCCTCAGCACTGGCATATATGTTCAACCTTGGGCGTCTTGAGGCTACGCTCTGGGTTGGCTTCATAGGAGAAAAGGAAATTGGGAGATCCGCCATTCAAAGGCTAGCTGTTCGCATCCGAGTTGAACTTTTAGCGGGTCAACACTAAGCACTGAAGCTAAAAACTTACGGGGATGCCCGGGAACCACCAAGACATGACTAGCAGGAAGACTCGTGAGCATAGGTGTCCTTTTAGGGGAAATAGATGGCCCTGGTAGATGATCAAACCACAAGGTAAACAGGGAATCGCCATCTATTTTTCGACTAAAACAGCCAAAAAGGACACCTATGCTTGCGAGAGTCCAACGCTAACTTCCCGTAAAGATGTTTCTTACGCTGGCACTGGGCCTTGCTCAGTTGGCCATGGCTCTGGTTCCACGCCTTCGGAAGCTGCGTGACACATGTCACGTTCGATCGACATGGCCATGGGTCAAAATCCAAATCGTACCTCGAGTGAGCATGCCAATCCAACTAAAATAGACTAAAATGGATGGTGCACCTACCCCAAAATGGTACCATTGGTTTTGACCCACATGGTACACGCAACGTTCACTTTGAAGCGGGAGTACCCCAAAGTCCCTCATCACAAGCGGATGAAAAAGGACTACCCTCTGCAGGCATCAGGTTTATTCCACACAAGGTCTTGGTCCTAAAACTGAATTCAATCGTTTGTTTTTGCTTTGCTTTGTGCTTACTTGTGGGCGGACAAGTTCAACCAACAGCTCTCTTTTCCTTCCATCCCCCCACCCCCCCCAAAAAAAAAGCGCCGCAGTGTTCCTTCCTTCCGCCCAAACAAAAACCCAACCTCGCGACCAACCAGCCAACGAACCCATGGCTTCGATCGGTCCCCCGCTGCCGCTCGCGCCTTGGCCAAGGGCTGGCGCAAGAGCGCGTTGAAGGCCTCTTGCGCGTCGAAAACCCCCAGCTTGGCGCACCACCGCGCCTCCAGCCTTGCACGGACCGACGCGCCGGCCCCGTCTTTAAGGGGCGGCCCGGTTGCTGATGCCCGGCTAAAAGGGACGAGGGTGAAAGACGGAAACTCAACCACTATATAAACCAACTACAAGCCTAAAAAACAGCCAAGTTTATGGGTGTGGGTTTTTAACATGGGCGGTTGTTGCCCCCAAAACTGGTCAAAAGTGGCTGAATCGCACATGAAGCCTCATGATGTCCACCAAAGGGCCTCCAAGACATGACCATATTCGTCGAAGGCAGTTGAACCAACCTGTTGGCTATGTCTGTTGTTCATGGGTACTCCTCCTTTTGGCTTCAGTGCCGTCGCAAAATCCGCAAAACGCAACAGTTGAGATGGCTGAATGAAGCCTCATTCACTGGGATAAACCACCTATTGCAAAATGTTGTCTGGGTTCCCGTCCTAGGCTTTTTCAACGCAAGGGTGGCCTTTTTAGCGGCATTTTGAAGGGGTTCTCCAAAATGCGCTTGGGCCGTTTGGGGGGAGGGAACGAGCTTACACCATGTCGATGGACAACTTGCGGATGCTTTAAAGGACCGAAGCGAAAAAAGCTTTGGCGGAAGCGATTGTAGCCTCCGCCGCCATGGCACTGAGTCGGGACGCTTGCGTTGGTACCGTTTGTATGTCAAACCGCCCAAAACCAAACAAGCGGAGGGGAATTGGCTTTGACACATCAGATGCATGGGCTTGTGTGTCAAACCACCCAAAACCAGACAATTGGAAGGGAATTGGCTTTGACACATCAGATGCATGGGCTTGTATGTCAAACCACCCAAATTAGACAAGTGGAGGGGAATTGGCTTTGACACATCTGGAATGATAAGAATCCACCCCCGGGGAATGAGTTGTACATGGCGGTGTGCTCAAATTGGGAGGGGAGCGCTGATATTGCCTAGGTGAATTTCTAGACAAGAACCTGATGAGTGAGGTCGCAAACACCCTTTGCAAGGTCGCCAAATATACCTATGGGAGTGTGGACACACGTTTCTTCCTGGTCTCCAGTGCTGGCGTTAACCGTGCCAGCTTGTCTTGCGCTCAGTACAAATGCCGGGGTCTGAATGCGGCCCCCTGCTCAGCGAGGACTGTGACCGTCCGACAGCTGTGGAGAGAGAGAGAGAGAGAGAACGTGGGCAAAGGTCAGTTGGAACATTTACAAATTTACACGCTCAAAACGAAACAGAACTATTTCAAGAGCCTGTCAACCTGACAGTGAGACAATCGCCCACACGTTTAGAGGAGAGGGTTCTCCATGATAGGCCGGTATTCTGAGGCCGTTGCTCTTTCGATGGCCCCTGAATGGAAGCCTGTGCGTTTCAGCGTATGAGAAATGGAATGACCACCATAAACCATCCAACTGGTGGTTTACTTCAAGGGGACCAAAGCCTGGGTTCATTCCCTCTTCTATCGCACTAGCAAGTTTGAGCAACCCAGGGAACCTTTGGGACTTCGACAAGCGGCTCTCCTACCGCGGTCAGTTGGCGCCACAGCCGGGGCCGTGTGGTTTTGCAGACGCCCCCGTTGAGCACGCAGAGGTCTGCCCACTTCTGGTCCACAAACATGCGGCGCCATTGCCTGAACCCAAGCCCGCATTTTGCGGGTGGAAAGACTCTTGGGAAAAGACTTCATCCAAGGTTTCAGCAAGCAAAGTCAGTGTCCTTTTCGAAATATACCAGAGTTCAGAGGATAGCTTGAAAAAAAAACACACTTTACGCAGCGTCTACTAATGTTGGACCTCCTTTATTATTGGTCCTCGCTATTGTAGAAAATTTTTCCCTAATTCAGAATCCTGTGACTGTTTTAACGGTTCGCTATTGTGTCAAGTTTTTTTGCCCCCCCAGAAAAATCTCAAAAAACGCAGAGCTTCTTTCTTCGCTTTCTAGATTTGCTCGGGCTCAGGCTAAACTTGCTAAGCCTTGGTAGCTCCTGTTGAGCTGGAGGCTGGTTCTGAGCCAGAATTGGGAAATTGTTTTCTTGAAGTGGTCCCCAAACCATCAAATTTAAGATAACTTCTTTACGAAAAAGTGCGGGCAAACAGTCACACAAAGGGGGGTGCCCACAAGAGGCCCAGATCCTCTTTAATGCGATTGTTTTGGGGTCCTCTTTAGTGTCAGTGGTTTCGGGGTTGCTGAAAACTGAAAACCAAAGCCTCAGCCTTTTACTTTTAAAGAAGGGGACTCATCCTAAGCTCTCCCCAGCTCAAAGGTTAAAGGCCTGAGATCTAGAAAATCGATTTTGCAAGTTGTTCCCAAACCATCAAATTTAAGATAACTTCTTTACAAAAAAGTGCGGGCAAACAGTCACACAAAGGGGGGTGCCCACAAGAGGCCCAGATCCTCTTTAATGCGACTGTTTTGGGGTCCTCTTTAGTGTCCAACTGGTTTCGGGGGTTGCTGAAAAAACGACCCTTGGCAATACTAAAGTAGAATTGGCAATACTAAAGTAAATACTGGGGATCTGAGAGTCAGCCTTGGCAATACTAAAGTAGAATTGGCAGTACTAAAGTCAGCACTGGGAATCTGAGAGGGGGCCTTGGCAATACTAAAGTAGAATTGGCAATACTAAAGTCAGTACTGGGAATCTGAGAGGGGGCCTTGGCAATACTAAAGTAGAATTGGCAATACTAAAGTCAGTACTGGGAATCTGAGAGGGGGCCTTGGCAATACTAAAGTAGAATTGGCAATACTAAAGTAAGTACTGTCCCTCCCAGATCCCCCAGGATCTCCCTAAAGAGAGTCCCGCCGACTGGTTCCACTGTTCCGGGGGGGGGGGGGGGGTCACACTAAACAGAGTCCAACATTAATTATTTTAGTATACACCCAAGCAGCTGTGTGTTACGAGCTGCATGTCGGTTGTCACGTGGATGCTCAAATCCAGATGGTGCAGTGCGCCTTGCTGGCAAAGGCAACCATTTGTGGTTGGCACTTCATCTACCCGAGTTTTCTGCAAGTGGCTTAGGCCCCCTATGCACCTTCATCCATGGCATACGATATCCTCTCACCACTGCCCCTACTTACCAGCTGACAGGTAGCTGTTCAGGGTTGATGTTGAACAATTCAGATTGTGGCTTTTTTCTTTTGTTTTCGATCACAAAGCTTTCGAACTGCCGCGCCTGCACACGGCGCCAGCTTGTACGGCCTCCCAGAGTGTCGACCAGGCAGAGATGCACCGGCATAGCAACTCGTCGCCGAGCAAAAGGCTCTGAGCCTGTCAGATAAACTCTGGGGATCCAAGCCATTCGCCATGATCAAATCATGATCATAGGATTCTTTGTGGGAAACATAAACTGTTGGCCGAAAGCCCTAGGGTGTTGTCCCCAAACAAGGGGCCCCAAAAGCTTTAAGATAACTCCAAAACGGGATTCTCCTTCCAAGAGGCAACTCAGAATTGCCACACTGCTTGTGTCAGGCTCAAACAACACGGCCAAGTATCAGTTTCCAGTCACTTACACATCGATCAAGCATTTGCCCAGTCTCCCATTTTCCCACTTTGGCTCTGTGTTCGATTGTCTAAGTTTGCTCAAACTTCGGTACCCACAAAATTAAACAGCTGGGGCAAGCCGCGGGTTTTAGTCTTTATTTCCATATACCAAGGTGGCGTTTGGGGACTCCATCTTTTGAGCCACAGCCATTTTCGGTACCAAGCGCCTGCGCTGCCTCTGACTCCTCCGACTCCGCGGAGCGCCAAGTGCTTGGCTCCGGCGTCGGCTCCGACGGCGCCGGCGCGGGCGCGGGCGGCTCGGCGCCGAGCTCCGAGGCGCTTTGGCCCATCTGCACGCGGCCTCCATGGAACGCGGCTCACCTTTGCGGAGCCTCGTTTGGGCGAGAGCCTTCCAGGAATGAGCGTGGAAGATGGCCCAAGGGAAATGGAGGGAACGGAGGTGGGCTGAAGTCTTGCTGCAGAGAGACACGGGGTTCAAAATGCATAATGGCAAGTGTGGGAGTATGTGGGTGTGTATGGTGAATGGATGGGTTGGGGTTGACAGCGTAGTTTGCATGACAGGGCTAAGATCAACAACATTGTGACACGGTGTGATACGCAAGGGCAACAGAACCAGTGTCCAGTGATGTCCAGTGTGGTATGACTATTCCTGAGATGGGTAAGCGGCTAGTTTGGGTTCTGCATGGGGTCTGCAAGACTGGTATTTGCGCATGTGAGTCTATGCATGTGAGTCTATGACTTGAGCCTGACAAGTCTTCAACTCGATTCAAAATTCAAGTTTTGATTCACACTCAGGCCGTTGCGAGCAATTCTTGGGCCATCCTGGACCACAAACCCCAAGAATGCCAGAGGCAGGGCTTCGCTTCTCGCCTTTCGCAAGCTGTGGGCTCATGATTGACATAGGAACTGGGGTAATTTTGGTAGGACCAAACTCCTCCGCGATCTGAAGCAATGCAAAGCGACTTCCGAAGACTTCCAAAGCTGCAAGTACGGATTCTGCGCTTGGGCCCCCTTGCCATATCCACCTCCTGGGCGAAACGCATCAACCTGAGCCGGAGATAGCCCTTGATGGTTGACCTTTGCTTTCCCATTGCTCCACAGTTCCTGGCAGGGCAAAGATGTGGTCCCAGGGATACTAAGGAACATATGTCTGCCCGTTTTGGAGAGAAATCTTCTGGCTGCTCTGTGGAGAGTTTCTCCATCGGTAATGATACCACTCATGAAGTTCCAAGGTTTGATTCCCCATTCTCTTCACCCATCCTTCTCTTCAGAAACCTCCTATTCTCCCGGGGTTTGGCCCATTGTTTGACAAGTATCCTTGCAGAGAATGGGGAGGGTACACTAGAGTCGGAGGCCCTTCTCGGCCTGAAAAACCAAAGGCCTACCATTTCTACACAAAGAGACAAGTGCAAGGTGAACCCAGGCCAGTGGGGTATGGTCACACCTTCGGCCGCACAAACTGTGAGCTCGTGAGGAGGCCGACAAGCGTGCTAGATTGTGGGGGCAGCACATGATGTGTGCCGCCGGGCACATCACACCCAAAGCAAACTAGGCAAAAAACTGAGTCCTCACACTAGCTGCTATCGGCCGACGAGAAACATGGAAACTTATGAAAGCTGGATCGTGGCTTGCTCGCGTCTCAAACAGCTCAAAAATGGAATCGAGCGGGCTCGCAAAACAACCGCCTGGCTTTCATACATCACCCGAAGGGAACACTCTAACCAGACGGTGCATGACGTATTGCTGGCCTCACAGTTGTCAGTTTTCAAAAGAATGACAATCCTGTGACCTCGTCATGATCTAAGATGACGTCTGATGTGGACTGGTTGTTTGATACCAAATCAAGCGGCTAAGTCAGGGGTCTCGATTTGCGGGGTCGACGTTTGGGATAAAGACACCACAAACCTCACCCAAACCTATGTCTAATGTGTATATATATATATATACACCATTCACAACTAACCACAACCCAATATTCAAATTAGCTTCAATACCCAGCATATAATCTATTCAAACCCCTAAGATGGGTGGTTTATCTTTGGATTCCCTTCAATAGGACTCAAACAAATGTACGTAGCAAACTACTAAGACACTGAAGACCAAGACTGGAACTGACAACATGCAATCTCATGGGACAACAGAACAAATACAGCAGTTCAGTGGAGCCAAAAACAGACGAAGCTTGTTGTTTACTCACATGGTCTTCCCCCAAAAGTGCCCCAGAAGCCTGAGGCAAACTCCGGGAGTGAGAGACGGTTCTCCATGGGACTCCCCGCATGGAGGTGGGATCTGCGCCGGTGGAAAGCACAAAGACCTCGGTGAACAGGGAGATACGAGGTCTCTACGACGAGCGGAAGACGATGGTTGAAGCAAACCAAGGGACACCAACAGATGGCTGTGGGTCAAAATGGGTACCCAAAATAGCACCTTGGTAAATGGAAACATGGACTCACACCTGCGGTCCCCTCGTGGTTTAATTTTGACCCACACCCAGATTTTTCTTTCGGGGCCCCTAGTTTTGAGAAGAACCCAGGGGATGGGGGTTCAAAACATCGACAAACCATTGGATGATAGACCTTTAGATGTCTACCAAGTACATGGTTTGATTTCTTTAGATGTCTAGACCTTTCCCAAATCATCGATCTCATTTTTCGGGGGGCCCTCATTTCGAGGAGAACCCGGGGTGAAAGTAGATGGGGTTGATCAAGAGGTCCCACATATGCATGGATGACCATTGGTTGGGAAACCAAAGAGAAAAACATGCGATATTTGCCACGGAAAAGAGACCCATGGTCAAAACTGGGGCCGAAGGGAATATTCATCAACCCACAGGCCGAATTCCCTTGTGGGAAGTGAAATACCCTCCCAGCAATTAATATGAACCTGACGTTCGGATTTCCTTCAAGACCCATTTTCCTTTTGAAGGGACCGGGTCCGTACCAGGTTCCATGTTAATTGGTGGGAGGGTGAAGGGGAGGATGATTAGACCTATGGACTTGTGCCATCTACTTGTTCACCATGGTGTAACTGGGCCTATCTAAATGTCTACTGCGTGATGTGCGACAATGTGAAGCTCGACAGGGACAGACGCTAAGCTGTGGTGACCTGCCTTGGACCCCCCCAACACCTTTTGTGCCCCCATTTCAAAGTGCATCAAATGACAAGCTGGCAAAACAGAGCCTGACGTTTGATTACATCAAACTTTTAATATGAGAGTTGAGAGACCAGCTCTGTGATGTCCGGACACGCCCACGCAAAGGAATGCAGCTAAACACCGCTGCACAATGCCTTGGCTCACAAATAATGCATCCTCCACTGTCAAATCCTGGTGGTAAATGTGATCTAAACAACGCATCTCAAAGTGAGTGTTTCTGCAGGTGTATCAAACAAGTACAGTGGCTACTACAGCGTGGTTTGATTTTGCTGACTGCACTAGCACTGGAGGTTGGTGCAACCGCCTCCGGGACCCTCCGGGTAAACAAACCAAACCTCTCTGACCCAAGCCCTGGCCGCAATGACTTTGTGGAACTCAGGCCGCCAAGGGCAGTCTGGCCATGTGCAGTCTGCCATGCATCGTGGATTCCATTCTCAAGGTGTGTGGAAGACCAGGGAACATCTGGGCACGATCAATTGCCCGGTTGTGGAAACCTTTGGGGTATACGACACAAATTGTTGAATCGTGCTGCATGAAGTATGAGTCCTAGTTCCTCCAATAAACCAGCTATTGCCCTTGATGCTCTGAATGTGGTGAGTGAGATACTGTCTAATGATTCCTGTAAGACACACTGCAAGAGGAAAGAAACCCGAGCAATACCCTGTAGTTGCCGGCCATATATTAATATTTCTTTTGAGCCCTGGGTCGAAGCCCGTTCGACCCTGGCAGCAACCAGAACGGAACCTGCACCATCTGCAAAGTGAGCAGGACATAGCAGGACTCCGTGTCTGAACGAATCGTGCGACATGTGCTTCGAGCTGTGAGGATCGCAGAAGAAAAAATGGAGGGGACCTTGCAACCAACAATTCTGGCCACTCTCTCGATTTGGCTGCTCAAAAGCGCGGCCCACAACGCGAGCCAACGCGCGCAAAAGCGGGCACTATGAGCCCGGCAATGGGTGTGCTACGGGTGGAGTCGGCATAGAGCTCAGCCACCTCAAACACGACGCGTAAGGAAGGCCTCCTGATTAAACCCAAGCAACCGTTGCTTTTCACGCTCATTCACAGATTCTGCTTGGCTGCTTGGCTGCTTGGCTGCTTGGCTGCTTGGCTGCTTGGCTGCTTGCACATGGGTGTAGCATGCACTCGTGTCGACCTCTTGTGACATAGGGCAAAATGATGCGCCGACGATCTGAATTGTGTGGTGATACTTCACGCATGGCTTACTCAGGGGACCCGCGGGAGAACAGCTTTTGCAAACAGCACAATGGTAGCTAACTTGATCGCACATCAGTACACCAGCGAAGAAAACACAGGAGAATCACACGTGTCTGGTCATGCAATGCATCTCTTGGCCATATGTCCAAAGACAGTTGAGTGGAAACGTGGTACCCTCGCAATTCATAGACCTAGCACAAACAACAGAAATACGTAGGGGAGCCCCCGAAATGAGTGGCGTTTCTTTTGGGCGTCCCTCAAAAAGTAAAGCTTCAACAAAACGACACATATGTTTTATGTGATGTACCATGGCTTGAGCATGCTATGGAATGTGGAAGGCGAAAGGCGACTGTTGAATCCTGTTTGGAGCTTTTGCTTTGTGAGATGTTTGTTTGTCAGGGTGTCTCAAATGGGGATTCCTGAAAAGAAGTGGGTTGGTTGCATTTCTTTTGCACTCCCCCCGCACACTGTGGATGAACGAGAATCATTTCGCCCCACCTAAGAAACCCTGGCTTGTGATTCCCCTGTAAATGCCAACAAACATCAACAAACATTGGTTTCC